CACTGGTGAGCACTGGGAGGTGAGGCCTGCGGCTCTCCGTGCCTTTGTCATCGGATGAGCTCGTCAGCCGCTCCCGTTGTGAGCAAAAAGTTAATATGCTCCTGGAGAAGAGAAAGGGGGATCAAAGATTTTTAAAAAGTCTTTTGTGAGTTCGCCGTTTTTCACGGCTGAAGCTCAGAAGATGTTAGTTACTTTTCTGAGGGAATCCCTGTGCTTGAAGCAAGGCCTGCGGCTCTCCGTGCCTTTGTCATCGGATGAGCTCGTCAGCCGCTCCCGTTGTGAGCAAAAAGTTAATATGCTCCTGGAGAAGAGAAAGGGGGATCAAAGATTTTTAAAAAGTCTTTTGTGAGTTCGCCGTTTTTCACGGCTGAAGCTCAGAAGATGTTAGTTACTTTTCTGAGGGAATCCCTGTGCTTGAAGCAATGGAAAAACCCACCGTGGTACACGGAGAACTTTGTGACATTGAATTTGTGCCTGACAAATAACTTTTGTCACTATCATTTGTTTTCTGAGATATTGACTCTGACATTTTTCAGGCATAATACAAGAAAACTGTCACCTGAGAGGCCGAATGTAATAATACTTGTAAGAGAGACAGAGGAAAGCTTTATGCCTCTCGCTTGGTATTCCTCACCAACAACCAGCATTGCAGCATCGTACGAAGTAGCAACTTCAGTGGTGTATTAATTTGCCTTAATAGGATTGCTAATGCTAATAGGATTCTGAAGTTTGCCAAATCAAGTAACTTAAATTATATCTGCTAAAAAAAAGAAGCGCGTTCTGTTAGTAAAGGATTTCTTCTTGATTATGTTTGTTGAGATTTACATTAGTTCTGGTCAAAAGTGAAACTGCTAATTAAAGACTTCCACAGTTACTGCCGTACTGGTGTAGTGCAGTGGAATATAAATGAATTAAAATCTGTTTCTGTCATATACCACTGGTATATGGGAAACAAGAGTCTTAAAATGGAGGAAGCTGAGGGCTCGTTAAATTAGCCCAGCTCTGAAGAAGTCTGGTCTGAACCACAGCAGTGGATGCATAAGCAGTGTATGAGTTTGATTGTATACATCCGTTAACATTGCATTTGTGAGAAACGTCACTAGGTGTGTAGTGAGGTTCAAATGAATCCCAGCCTGTTGCTGAAAGGGGAATATATTTGTATTTTCTAAACTTCTGCCATCAAGTCCTCTGCCTGGAGCTCTCCGGTGCTCTGCTACACTGCTCTACGCCAGCATCTTTCCGTGGAGTAGTTGAACAGTAATTTGCAGAACGTGTAATATATATTCTCTATACTTTAGCTAATAATATGAACAGTAACTAGATGTTTTTAACTAGTCCAATATTTACTAGGTGCCATGTCCCTGGTAAGGTTTAATTTCTGTTCCGTGCGCAGAGAGCGTAGCAGAGAGGGTTGGGGGAGGTGCAGTTTTCTCTTCGGAAGATGAATGTGAAAGAAAGTTTGCCAGGCAGATAGCTCTCGAAGAAAGAAGACATATTGTCGGCTTCGTAAGATTTAGTTTCATGTCTCGAGGCTGTGTAAGTATGTACTTGTGATGACACTTTGAAAGACTGACACGAAGAACATTTTGTATGCTGTGGAAGATACAGAAGTCTAAATAAGTTAATACAAGTGATATGCCTTTTAGCCTCCTTCTCTCCTAACCATAAGTCGTATTTAAAAAAAAAACCTTGAAACTTAGTATGAGTGTGCAAATATGGGTGCTTTGTGGAAAATGTGACAAGTTCCAGTTTGACTACTGATTTAACAAATCTTGTTAACTTGGGTTTATACATATCACATACTCTTCCCCTCTTGTGGCATAAATAATAACACGTTTCAGTAGAGTCAGATCATGAAAAATACTTTCTTATGCTGTATGAGAATTTATTGATTCGGCTTTTATAACAGTTGTCTTCTGCCAAAGTCAGTGGCTGTTTGTTAACTCTGAAATGCATCTTTTCTCTCAAAGGTCAGCATAAAATCAAGTTCATCCCAGAAATGGTGGGACCTATCTTAGAAATGACGCTGATCCCTGAAACCGAACTTCGGAAAGCTACAATCCCAATCTTCTTTGATATGATGCAGTGTGAATTTCATTCTACAAGAAGTTTCCAGATGGTAAGCAACAAGTTACAGATATTTTAAGTTTATAAGGAAGATTTAACTGTTCCTTGACAAAAACATAAGAATTTTTGTTATTTCTTACTTTTCTAAAGAATAATATAATTATGGATTTTCTATAACTCTGAGTGGCTATAGAGTTTTCATCTGAGTTTTTAAATTCTTGTTGAAGGAAAAATTTGCATGAAGTAAATGAAACCTTTCTTTATGATTCTATGCTGGTTTCGGCTGGGGTAGAGTTAATTTTGTTCCTAGTAGCTGCTATAGTGCTGTGTTTTGGATTCAGAATGAGAATAATGTTGATAACACAGGGATGTTTTAGTTGTTGCTGAGCAGTGCTTGCACTAAGTCAAGGACTTTGCAGCTTCTCACCCCACCCCACCAGCGAGGAGGCTGGAGGTGCACAAGAAGCTGGGAGGGGACACAACCAGGACAGCTGACCCCAACTGGCCAAAGGGATATTCCATACTATATGACGTCATGCTGAACAAAAAAAACTGGGGGGAGTTGGCCGGTGGGGCGTGGCTGCTGCTCAGGAACTGGCTGCGCATGAGTCAGTGGGTGGTGAGCAGTTGCATTGTGCATCACTTGTTTTGTATATTCTTTTATCATTATTATTATTATTTTCCCTTCCTTTTCTGTCCTATTAAATTGGCTTTATCTTAACCCACGAGTTTTACCTTTTTTCCCATTCTCTCCCCCATCCCACTGGGGGGGAGTGAGCGAGCGGCTGTGGGGTGTTTAGCTGCCTGCTGGGTTAAACCACGACAGATACAAAAGGAGAGCAAAGGCAGATGTCTTAAATTTTCACTGTGACTCAGGAAAGGAGTCTGCTTCTGAGTGAAGTTGGACATAATGTGATAATGTGGCAAAAGAAACTATAACCTGTAAGAATTTTATATTCTTTACCATTTTAATGGATTTTGAAGAAGAAAGCAAGTTATCCAGTCAGTGTCAGTGTTTCTTCATGTTATGTAGGCACTGCAAAATCTAAAATACTAATGTAGCGTTTTTATTCTGTTTTATTTTAATGTGCTGAGGGAAGTCCTTGAATAAGCACACACAGTCTTACTCTCATAGCATCAACTTTTGAGAGACAAATAGAGTGAAAGACAGTTTCCTGACACCATTCATTTGACTTTCTTTCCCTTGAAACTGCCTTAGGATTGAGTATAAGACTAATTAGGCCAGGTAGTGTTATGGTATAAGCCAGTGTAGCTCCTTTACACTGTGAAATTTCTGTCAGTTCAGGATATGTCCTTGTGAATTTTGCAGTAAAGTTTGATGTGTGTTGTTTACTTTTTTCCCTTCATATTGGCAGTTTTCTTTCTTGAATGAAAAATCTAATCCTTTTCCATACTTTTTTGTGAACTGTTATTCATAACCAACTCTTTAATAAATCTGTAGCCGGAGTAAATGAATATCTGCGTGGAGAGACTTAAGCAAGGGAAATGGCATCAGCTTTATTTCTTTGATTTGTTTTGTGCTGGATGGTGTGTGGAAAGGTGGTGAGCTGTATTTTGGATCCATCCAATTACTGCATAATCATTCTTTCTTATCTTTGACTCCGATGGTACTGTAAAGATTGAAATGCTCACTGGGATGCCATTTAAACAGTTTTCTGTCAGATGCTCTCTTTTGTTGCTTGTCATTTTTTATTTGTACAATTATATGGATCATGAAAAATCCGAGGGTAACTTTATAGCTAAATTCATGGCCCTGTATTTTCTTGACAGAAGGAAACCAGCTTTGTGTGGAATAGTTGGGTGATTTTAATAAATGAATGTCTTAAATATTTCACACAAATTCTTTTTGCCTTTTGAGAAGAAAAATGCATCATGCTTAAGTCAGAGATGTCTTGGATTGTAGGTACTCAACATATATTTCTTATGTCAGCATAGCTTCTTTCTTTATGGACATAGCATTGATATGACAGGTGCAGAGGTAGTAAACCTTTTTTCAGTGCAGTTGGAGTGAACAGTTATGTCTAACTGGGAATAATCAATCTGTCCATTTACGGTTTTGCAGATAATGTAGTTATATAGTTTGCTGAGTATCTCAGATTGGTCTTTGGGGAATGAAGATCACAGCTTGTAAAAAGCAGAGAATTATAGAAAAGTCTGGGTTGGATGGGACCTCTGGAAGTAATCTGGTTCAAACTGGGCCTTAGATTGGCTTATCCAGGGCCATCTGAAGCTCAGTATTGACTATTTCCAGTGAAGGAGGCTTAACCGCTTCTCTGGGTGACCTATTCCAATGTTTAAGCCTTTTCTTCTTATATCCAGATGGAATTTCCCTGAATCAACTTGTACCTGTTGCTGCTTGTGTTGTAACTGCGCACCCTTGTAAATAGAGTAACTTCATCTCCTCTATAACCACCTTTTAGGTATTGGAAGGCTTGAGTCTGCTTTTCTCTAGGCTGAACAAACCCAATTCCTTCAACCATTCTTCAGGCCATGTTCTCCAACACTGCTCATCTTGGTGGCCCTCCATTTGACCATCTCCAGTTTGTCAATGTCTCTCTCGAGCTGGGAGAACCAAAGCTGGACGCAGTATTCCAAGCCATGGCCCAACAAATGGAATAATCCTGTTGATCCTCTAGCTGTACTCTTGTTGGTGCAATCAAGGGCACGTTTTGCCTCCATTGAAGGGGCACACTGCTTCTTCATGTTCAGCTTGTTGTCCACCAGGTCCTTTCCAGCAGAGCATCTTGTACTGCTGCTTGCAACTATGCCATCCCAGATTCAGGACTTCAGGTTTCTCTTCCTTAAATATTATGCAATTTCTTGTTGGCTGTCTTTCAGACTGTCAAAGTCATTAAACCACCACCCTTCGAGATCAGCAATTTAGCCACTTTTCCCACCCATCTTGTAGTCTTTCTGTCCAGTCCGTATCTTAACCAACTTGTCAACAAGTATGTTTTGAGAATCTCTCCAAAAAATGCATCAAAAAACATTGTTAAGATCGTGACAACCACAGCTCTTCATCCACTGAGCAGATAGTTTCATCACGGAAGGCAGTCAGGTTGGTCAGATGTGATTTACCCTTGGTAAATCCGTATTGGCTTTTCCCAGTCACCTTCTCGCCCTTCATGTACCTGAAAATAGCTTCCATGAGGGCTTGCTTCATGGTTTCCTCAGGAACTGAAGTGGGCCTGCCTGGCCTGTAGCTTCCCGGCTCATCTTTTTTCTCTCTTTTGTGTTTACGTGATAGAAATAGATATAAAATAATTTAAGTATTACCAGTACCTAGGCAAGCTTTCATACTTAATGTGTCGGTGTAATGTACTGCGTTATGTCGTCTATATGCAACTACCAATTATTATTGTCCAGCATTTCTTTCAAAGAGAACTTCAAAATTGAATGGTTGGCTGCTGTTAAACTAATCTGCCAGAATCCAATTATCTAACCTTATTAGTCACATCAACAAGGGTTTAGATTGGCTCCATTTCTCCAGCAGATGTATAAACCTCATGATTTTTGGGAGAGGAATTTAAGCTTCTATGCTTTGATGGCTTGTCTTATAAACAGACAGCTTTCCCCATGGCAGTTTTAATTTCACTATGAATTGGTTTGCCTGGTAAAACCAGTAACGGGCAGAATGGGGTTTTTTTGGTTTTCCAGTATATATAGCCCTGAGAAAAAACAGAAGATAAATTCCTCTGGTTTTTACAGAACTAAATTAAAGGCCAACTGAACTAAAAGCTGGAGTTGCCCATTTTTGTCCTCTCCCTCGTAAGGTGCTTTGAAGCCTATATAAGGCTTCAAAGTAGCCTGTACCTCAAAGCATGAATCTGATACTAAAGTCTGTATGAGACTGAAGCTTCCCTATAGAAGAAAATGCCTCCTTCTCTGCTCTGCTTTTTTCCCTTTGCCTGTTTTACTAGCAAACCTGCCAGATCAAAAGGAATATATCAGAGCCACAGGAGCGATGAAAGAGAATTGGTTTGGTTGTTCAAGGCCTGGTCAGGTGAGCGTGAGGATCCCGTGGTCACAGCAGGAGAGAAAGTTCGTCATGAAACAATCATTCAGCTGAAATGTGGAATTCGAAGCATATAAGCAATATAGGCATAGAAGCTCCAGCATGTGTTCTTACCCTGTTAGAGTAAGGAGTTGTGCAGAAGTAATGGTCTGAGGAAAGAGCCCCAAAAACGCAACAACATATCTGTCCTGTTTTCGGCAAATTGGAATGACGCTTAGCATAATGGAACCATAGCCAAAATGATAGAAAAATTATATAGAAATGCATAAGCAATGAATGCATAATGCAGAATCATATAGAAGTGCATAATAAATGAATGCATAATGCAAAATCACATAGAAATACATAATAAATGAATGCATAATGCATATGATTACTAAAATAAAACCATGGGTGCAGCTAAAGTACTTCTAACTAGCGTTCTGTTATGAAGAGAATTAAATGAGTAAGGACCAGAAGAAATAAAGAGGAAACCCTTTTAATTCTAACATTTAACAATAAATCTCAGTATCATCAAGATGGTCATACTAGCATTTTTATTTGCAGTGTAATTTCTTATTGGTTATGAATTTCAAATTGATATAATTCTCCTTAATAAGAAGTACCTAGTTTATCTGAATCTCTCTCGACTTTTAGAACTTATAATTCCTTATTAAGCCTCTTTACAACTTCTGAGCCCTGTGTTAACCTTCCTTTCCCTGTGCTATAGATTTGCAGACAGAACACAAGTTGATGACTTGTCCAAGTTTCTGTGATGCTGCAGATTCTCCTCTGTAATCCCACTGACTGTGCAAATTCAAATAAGTCATCCCCCACAAAGGATTAATTTCAATAAGTAACATTTTTAGTTATCTATGGATGAAATGTAAATGTGTAAGTTTTTCTTGTTTTCTGGCCTTTTGGAGAATATTGGTATTCCTCCCTCACCCCACCTGAAGAGCAAGGGAGAAAAGTAATGCAGTAAGTCTAGAGACCTCCAAAATCACCTACTATTAAATGGCTGCTGGATCTGTTTGCCAACCAGAATGCTGTGGGAAAATAGGAAAGGGAACAGATAAAATTGTTGGGAATTACCACCAACTTTCATAGCTGCCTTTGAACAAAGTTTTACAGTACTTGTGTGCTATTTCTGCACTAGGACTAATTTCTGGTGGTGTTATCTGTTACTTGAATTTTATATGGCAAATTCATTATTATCCCATATCAGAACAAATTTATAGCAGCTTGGAGGATTGAAAGTCTTCCTCACCTACAGCTAGATTAAATTGTCAGTCAGTGCTACAAATAGAGCCTGACCATACTTTAGGTAAACCTAAAACCAAAAGCGATTAGTTGAGCTGACACTTGAAGACGCTAGGTAGCTTACATTGATTTATTTTCTCCAGATGGGAGATTGTAACAGACAAATGAAGTAGTGGATATACTCTTTGCTTAAGTTCAAACACACATCCTGAAGAGAAGCTGAAATCTTGATCAACTGCAAGGAAAAGTTGATAATAATATCCTGTAATCTTCCTAACATTACCCTTCAAGCTTTCACTGTCAACAGAAAGATATGAATCTGACTGACTGATGGTGCCAGATATACATACCCCCTATGCCTCCAGAAGGAGCCTCAGCAGGTGTCACTGGCTGTAATGTAAACACTGAAAATTTGGCGCTTCTTCACTTGAGAGTAAATTTCATCACAATAATTGCAGGCCTACTTTGCCAGATACGGTGTCCCAGAGCCACTAGCTTGTGCGACTCCAGGGCCATGTTCTTACTCCCATCGTGGAAGACGATAGCTCTATAAACTTCAACTTGTGTTGATGAAACCTTTTTCTGTGGAAAGATCACAGAAAGAATTTTAACTATGTTAAATAACGTTTAGTCATCTCGCTTGCATGATCTGCATCATATTGATTCTTTGAGAACTGTCAAGAGTGATGGAAGAGCAAAGATATTGTTAATAGTCCTTAAAACCCAAGAAATGTCACAAGTCTAGCTCTGTTCAACCCAAGAGGGCCATTGGGTAGATGGCCAAACAAAGCCTAGATTTACAGAAATTTAAGTAAAATTGATTATCGGGAAGATACTCAAGATCCTGTATGACAAATGTAATTGCTCTTCTTCATATGAGTAATCTCTTGCTAAAAAATGTATCACCTAAAGGGCTCACGCTGGCAGCAAGTGTCATTTTTCACATTGGTATAGAAAATCAATTTCTTTCTGGTCTCATTAGAGAACATGAATTTTGTGACTTCTCTGTTTCATCACTGTGTTGCCTCAGTTTTACTTGACACGTCCTTGTACTATGGGAACGTGTTTCAGCTTGTGTTTGCTTCTTAGAGGGGGTGGATTGCATTATTCTTCCTTTACTCATTTTCCTGTCATTTTTTGAATAATGGATTCATTGTATTAAAAACTTTATTTCACTTCACTTTTCATTCATTTCTTCACAAGGAAAGTAGTGAGAGAGTGGAACAGGGTACCCAGAGAGGCTGTGTAACCATCCATCCATGGAGATGGTCAGTACTTGACTAAGCAAGTCACAGTTGGCCTGATCTCGTGTTGGCAATAATCCTGCATCACCTGGGAGGTTGGAGTAAATGACCTTCGAGGTCTCTTCCAGCCAGTGTTTCTGTGATTTTGTGGGGTGCATCATTTGGGGTACAGAAGAGCAGCTTTGAAATGTTTTAATCTAAGATTTGGGGTTTTCATCTTTAAAACAGTGATGCATAATAATAAAAATTGTTTTAAGATGGAATATCTGTTGTTTGGGTACTTGGTTGATTTTAACGCTGTATGCGTGATACAATCTGTAGTTCAGGTTTCCTGACAGCTCACAGTTCGATTGACTTGTGCATGAATTTGCACTGAGCAGTAGGTGAGCAGGTTTTTTTCTGCCATTATTCGTCATGATAGCTTGTAGTCACTGAGCTCAGAGCAGAAATTTTTTTTTTTCTGTTTGTAAAAGAATTCTGGTGGGCTGCCAGGTAGTGTGTAAAAATAAATTTCCCAACTCGAATGCAGAGGACAAAAAGTCTGGGGTTGCATATGAAGGTAGGAAATGATGTGAACATTACTGCAGTTAATGCTGAGATCATGGAGACTTGGAAAGGGAGACAAAAACAGTGTCCTGGGTCTGACTCTGGATTTTTACATTACTGCTGTTGAGCCTGTTAAGATACTCGGAGATTGAGTTGTCCTAACGAAGAGGAGTATTTTGGCGTTGTCACAATTTATCAAGCAAATCCGTCATACCAATGTGTATCTCTCCCTAAAAAGGATTTTTCTTAGCAAAGCAGGAACTTCTCTACAGTCCATGGCCACATTTCGTACTCAGGTTCAACTTGGCCAGCATGTGTATGTTCACAGCTGCTGTGGGCTTCAGCAGAAAAGGACCTTCCAGGAGAGCAGGCAGTTGCCTCCAGCTGTGGGGCTGGCCAAGATGCTTCTCCTCACCCTCACTTGCTGCAGGCTTTTCTCTTGTTCTGCCCAGGTTTACCTTGTCCCGCGCATGCAGCAGTTATTTCGGGAGAAAGGGATTGTGGCAGAATGAAGGGCATGTCTGTTTGGTACCTGGTACAGGCGTTGTGATAATCTCTGTTGGCCGAGATGGGACTGTGTGGGCTGAGCTTAAAATACAGCGTACGTTGGCAGAAAGAGATGGGTGGTGGACGTAGCTACTACGCTTCCTCAAAGTGATATAAATTAAGGTGGTGAAAAGCACTCTCTTATCGTCAGAGTTTCATCGTGACGTAAGTCTGTTGGCAAGGGTGATCTCACACTCCTCGCTGAAATAAATATGCCAGCAGAATTTCACAGCGTGGACTAAAAAAATCCAGTTTCTCTTCCTAGCTAAACCAATCTGAGCCCTGCTGCTGGCTGGAGATAACACCTCGTCTTCCTCAGCTTCCCCATGGGGCTGACCGTGTAGAAAATACCTGTCCCCTGTTGTCCCCCCGTCCCCTGTCGCTGCTGAGCGGTGGTGCTACGGCCGGGGCAGCAGCACCGTGGGGTGGCCACACGTCACCACTCATGGCTCAGCCTGCCTGGCACACCGCAGGTGAGACCACGGCCGAGCTCACCCCCTCTGCCCTGGGATGCTCTGGGATGGTGGTCCCATTGCCCGGGTGCCCGTTATCCGCCCTTGCCAGAGGCTGCTGGGCTGGCAGGGCTCTGTGCGGGGATTTTTTTTCCTCCTAGTACATAGATTTTGATTTTTGCCTTTCAGCATAGATATCAGCTAAATCTTTAGCGCATGACCTCTACTGCAACGCTCTTGAGGTTGTCCTTGTGCCTCCTTGTGGTTGTTCCTGGTGAAAGAAAAGTCTAATTCTGCTTACAGGCTTTCAGCAAAAGCCTGCCTTCTCCAGTTACTGAGAGCTCCTCTGCTGATCAGGCAGTGTTTGGTGGCTGTAATAGAGGAGCTAATACTGCTGCCACTAAAGTAGATATTTTGATCGGTGGAAGTAATTTATAAAGAATAAGAAATGCTGTTATGTTACTGGTAGAGCTTAGAGGTGGGGAAGTGTAGCACTGGGAAGGAAAGCCCGTGGCTCGAACAGAGGTGCAGGAGTGGGTCCGTAGGGTGCTGCTGAGCCCAGAGGCTGTGGAAGTGCATCTTTGCTCTGGAAGCGTATCAAGCTGCAGACAGTCCATTCTTTTTTCATTCGTACATTATATGCCGTTAATATTAACTGCAGATGCAAAGTACATCTCTTGACATTTACAAAATGTTACTACGCTTTGTTCTAGTACAGGTGGCCCTTTGCTTCTCCTTGGAATAGTTAGGGGCTGCTTAAGCAAGTGACAGTGAAAAAATGTGAAGACAACTGTTCTGTCACTAAACTCCCTCTCTGACTAATGGGATCCCATTCCCCTGCCACAGGCTCCCTTCTCACCCGGGCTCTTCTGCTGAGGTCTCTTGACAATAGGTTGTGTCAGTAATGGTGTGGATGACTGTGCTTATTTAATGAAGAATTAGGAACTAGGTGACTAGACCGATTCGTTACATAGCAGCAGGCCTAGAGTGATCCTTCCTCCGCTAACAGGTTGCATTTGTTCCTGACCTGGGCGCTAGGGAATGTAGCAGGAACAGGTAAAACCCTCTGTAACCATTAAAAATCCAGTGAATTATCCAGTTTGCATTTAAAATATATTCTAATGCCCACTTAAGTTTGCATTCTTTTATTATTGCTCAAATATAAATATTACTCTTAGGTTGTTTGAGACAACTTCCTTCCCCTCTGCAGTGTCTTATTAACAGGTTTGTTAATTGAGTTGTGCCCCACTGTGTGTCAGTATCTGTATGCTAAAAAGGGATGTGAGTGATGCTAGGGTGTGCATCTGGCTGAGTTATACAGCCTTAGGTGTTATATACCCTCTCTCATAGAGCTTTCAACATTTTTGTATTTTACTTTTGTTGCTATTGCCATTATTGCAGGGGACATCCTGTCCCTGGCTTTGTGTCTTCTTTTTCCCCGCCCTCATTCTTGTCGTTAATCTCCCTATTTAGTTTTTCATAATACAAATATTCACACTTCATTTAACAACATGACCAATGATTTCTTCAACAAAAAAGTCCTTGTAGGGCAGCAGATCATCATGGATAGTCTAATACCAGAGGCTGCAAACTGTTTAAAGTCAATCAAGCTTTAAAATAGTGGCTAAACATCTCACCGAGATACCCAACCAATCTGTGAACCATTAAGGCTACAGTTATAAAGTGAAATATTTGCCATCTGATTATTTACGCTTGCTTTGTTTAATTATAGTTTGAAAATGAGATCATCACGAAACTGGATCATGAAGTGGAAGGAGGCAGAGGAGATGAACAGTACAAAGTGTTATTTGACAAAATGTAAGTGTTGATCAGCGGCGAGATTTATGTCACAGTAAAGTCAGGAGAGAGAGCAATTAGACTACAATGAACTTTGTAGCCCAGAAATAATTAAAATCTGTTAATGATGCACAACATTTAAAATTGCACCTGAGTCAAGGTTTTTTCTGTGTGTGATTAACAAGGCGAATGTAATTGGTTTTTCAGTCTCTTGGAGCACTGCAGAAAACACAAATACCTTGCTAAGAGTGGAGAAACTTTCGTGAAACTTGTTGTCCGCTTAATGGAGAGGTTGTTGGACTACAGGACCATAATGCATGATGAGAACAAGGAGAACCGCATGAGCTGTACTGTCAATGTGCTGGTAAGCAAAGAGAAGTCACCACCTGAAATGACTACTGCATTCTTAATTTTACCCCTTTAACAAAAGATTTGTGTAAAACAGAGTATGTGTCAGGATTCTCATGAAAGTTTGAAATACTTTGGGGTTTTTTTCTTTTTTTAATGAAGGTGAATCTATGAAAACATGGGTTATTACTTCTTTAATTGGTTCTAAGGAAAGATTTAAGAAGTGGTTCAGGGCCTCATCTTTGAGGGCTGTTCACTGACATTTACAATTGATGTATGAACAACTTTATGCAGAAAAACACTTTGACGTACAGAACGTTGGAGTAATACGCAGTTTACTACCAGAATTTTCATGCGTTTGCAATCCCATTTGTATTCTTCTGCTCAGCTTCCGTATTCAAAACTTTTGAAGAAATTTGAGTGCTACTACTTTGTTCACTGCAGAAAAAGCTCGGGTTGTTTTCCTCACTGATGTGAAATTTCCTCCCCTTAGTTCCAGAAATTCTGGAGTATCTACTCTATATTACAAACCTTTGTCCATTTAGGCTGGAGTTGGAGGCAGCAGAAGTTGTCTCCGTAGTGCGCACATCATGCTCTTCAGTGGAAGCATTAGAGTATGAGATTTTACTAGCACAAAATCAGCACATAAGGAAAAATGTAAAAATAAATTTTAGAGACCCCAAAATGTAGTACTAGCTAGATTTGATTTTTCCAATAGGACTCAATATTAAACTGTTAGCACCTAAGGATTCAGAGCTTTCATCCCTATATCATCACCACAGCTTTTATTTCACTTAAATATGTGGAGCACAGACAGTGTTTATAGTTTATGTGATATGGCCGATAGATTTCATTCAGGCTGGTTTGGAAACATCTGAGTAAATAGTTTGTAGCTTTAGCACTTGCAAGTAATGCAAATGTCCTCAGCTTGTGCAGTGCAGCCTTTATGCCACACTGTCCCATAAGCTATAAATGAAACGCTGCCCATTACAATGGGAGAGAAGATAGAGACATCAAATCAGAAATTGGGATTTTATTTTTAGTTTGTTTTTCCTCTCTGTGCACATCAAAAAGCATCAGAATGTTTAAGAAATGGGAAAAGAGGAGCAACTTGGAGAGTTGTCACCGGCTGTTGATCTAGCAAATGCCGTTAGGCTGCCCGCAGAAAATTCATACCGTCCTCCCAAGCGGAATTTGAGTTAGAAAAGCCTGCCAGTTTGCACCAAGCAAGATAGCAAATAAAAAATCACATACACCATACGCTCTAAAACATGACAATTTATAAAACTGGGAAAATTTCCTTAGGAAGGTGAATTTATTTCTCCTTCCCTTCATGATAATACTCTGAGTCTCCTCCTAGTAGTTCTTGCCATACCAACCGCAGGGGGACCGATGCCACACTTAGGGGTTGGTTTTGTTTTCTCTAAGTGTCTCTAACAGCATCTCCTGATGCTGATTTTTGTCATCTGAATTTTTCAAGTATTTGCAGATGATAAATTTTGTGGGCAATTTACTGCTGTCAGGTTAAATCACCATGCCTGGTGAAGTCTGCGGGAAGTGCAGGAAAGCATCGCAGGGCAGAACTTTCCTTTGTTTTCAGTAGGCATGATTTAAAACCTTAGCTTGATTTTAAAGTCCCATTTGCCCTCCAGGGCCAATACAGTCTTTTCATCATTCTCCATGCACCTGAGGGGAAATTTATGCCTTTGCAAAAATCCGACCCAGGGCTGATACTCAACACAGTTCCCACTTGAGGTCTCAAAGAGTTCTTAATTGGGACATTAATGATGCAGAGGCTTTCACAGGATTAAGTTTGTCTGTATTGACTGTAGTTGAAGTCAGGGTTTTGATACGTATTTAAGCCAGCGCAGCATAAGGGGGAGTGGGAACTTGCACCCAAAGATGGGGCAGGAGCACTGCTGTAGTAAATGTAATGTGTGTCAGTGTCAACCTGCTGCCCAAAAAATGGTTGATTGGATGTTGCTTCTTGAGCTGCGTCAGAAGAGCAGAGCAGCTGGCAGCAATACTAGGATAAAAGGGTTTTATGTTACTGGTCCCCCCAGCTCAGAAGCCTCTTCTACTTCAAAAAACCAAATAAAACACAAGTAAGAAAAAACAGCGGAGTTTTTTCACGTGGTTCAGTTTGTCTTTTGAGTTGAACTCAAAACCAGTGAGCAGTTATGTCAACTAAAATGGTATATCCACTGAATAATCCATCATTTCCAACTCGGATACGTAGGTTCTATCTTGTATTTCAGTTCTCTTTGAAGGGAACAGTTTTGTATTGGGCTTATGCATCTACTAGTACTGGGCTTGTGCATCTATTAGTGGCTACTCAGACTGGTTTAATTTAGCATTGAAATATATTGTAATTCAGTGAAGGAGATACTCCTTTGTGTTTTGTTTTCTTAGATATATTTTAACTTTTTAAGGCAAACTTTAAATTAAATTCAGAAATGCCTTTAATATCTCACCCAATTTATCATATCTTGCATTTACAATATTTGTAGTGTTAACTAGTTTATCTCAAGACCGGAGGCATTCAGGCAGTTCTGAAGAGAGTGATGATAATGTGTGGCATAGGAAACCAGATAAATAACACTAATCTAACTTTTTATTTCCAAAGAAACTATTAGAATTCAAGGGCAGATGATGTGTTGCTCAACTAAGATTTGGCGTTTTAAATCCGTAGAACAACTGTTGCTTAAAAATTACGGTTTTGTATATTACAAAATTTCAACTGAAAATGGTTAATGATGTGTGACTTGCAAATGCCAGAAGGAAGTTTCTGGCAGTACTGTTCTTGCAAATTCTTGACCTTTGCAATGAGACATAAGCCCTAATACGCTACATCATGAAACATCACAGCATTAGACTTTGTAAGTTAAGTAACTTGTGTTCTATCACTAGAGGCAAATTTCATTTTTCAGTTTTGAGGTTGATGTTATGCAATTATGAATTTTTAATTTAGAGCATGTTCTGTATACATTTCAGACTGTGAAATCACAGACTTTGTAACAAAATTATGTTGTTTTTCAGAATTTCTACAAGGAGATCGAGAGAGAAGAAATGTACATAAGGTTTGTAAACATGACCAGTGACAAACTCTGCTTGACTTACTGTAGCGTATTTGGAGAAAATTAAGTTCATATTAAGCAGTCACTTGGGGGCTGGAGGGAAAGAAGTAATGAAAAAGCATACCTTTACTGAACCTTAAGTATATTCAAAAGCTATCTTCACTGAGAACAGTGAGCATTAGAACATTAGAGTCATGAGATTTTTTTTGTCCCCCTTCTCCAACTCCTGCAGTTATATTATGATGAACACTGAAATAAATACTCAGGAGTGTTGTCACATTAAAAAAAAAAGTAAGTCAAAAGAAAACTGAGCAAAGAAATAATTCTACTTCCTGGCAAGGTACAAAATATGTGACTTGAGGTAAAAAGGACGATTAAATAATATAATGACTGCTACTTATTTTAAATTTAAAGCTTTTAGGAACCTTTCAAAATCTATTTTCACACAAAGTAAAAATGGTAATACGTTGTTGTGCTTGTTGTAAACCTCAGGGTTCCTAGTCCTCTATTTGTACTTTGGCTTAAAATTGGCTAGACTGTTGTGCTAAAATGATGAAGCCTGTGCTTTTACTGCTATTTTAGGTGTCTAAATATTAGTCATTAATTCATTCTCAGATGCTTGTTTCCTTTTTGGAAGAATTTTCACTTGTGAACTCGCTTCCTGTTGTTTAAATGGGTTTAATTATTGCTTTATTGATTTGCAAAAAAGAAAGTAAAATCTAGCAAAAGGCAGAATTGGTAACTGTGGACAAACACGTAAAATTGTGAGTCGTAGGTCTGCCCTATTAAGCATCACAAACTCTCTCGCTGTCAAACCCTCACCCAAATTCTCTCCTATTTCTGTTAACAAATTTACAATGTATCATAATGAATATCAAAGTTCTGTATTTTCACTGGCTTTTTCAAAATACAGTTTTAATAGGTGTTTGGTTTGTTTGGTTTTTTTAAAATTGTAATTAAAAAAAACAACAAACAAATGAAGAGAAGCCCCTTACAGAGGTGTGATGATATTGAAGAATACTTATACGTCTGTCTCCACAGCAATATCTCTTGCACAAAATCTGCATTGGATTCATTACACATCACAAGTCATTTATATGGATTGGAAAAAAAACACAACGGAAGTGCAAATGGTCCTAAAGGTGTCTGCACACAGAAATATGAGCTTTAAATAATCCCACATATATTCAGTTGTTTGAAGATAGAGTTGAACTGTTGTAATCTTCGAAATAAATTATTTAGTAACATTTAAGAATCAACCTTTTTTAAGAACCATTGTTTTTATTACTTGCAGGTATTTGTACAAACTGTGTGACCTGCACAAAGAATGTGATAACTATACAGAAGCTGCCTACACATTACTTCTGCATGCGAAGCTTCTGAAGGTAAACGCCAAAATACATCGGAAGTTTTGAAAATCATCTTAGCAGTAACCAATAGTAGTATTGTTTGTCAGCCTTGGAACATCTGCACTTTAAACTGATTAACAACTGTGTGCTGCTTCTTATGGCAGTTTTATCTTTTGCACATGCAGGAAACCAGCCCTCTGCCGTTAGTGTATGTAAGAGCATGCTTTACTCATCTTGATCTGAAGTGAATGGAATCACAGTCAAGTCAGACCACAAGTTATAAATTGCAAAGCTGTAATTTAAATTTCTATTAAATGTCAAAATTATGTAATGCGTGGAAGCATCTAAACACATATTTCAGTAAAGCAGCTCTTCGCAGAATTGTTTTTGCAAAGGCAATACAAGGGAGTGCTGGAGACTGTCTCAGGTCCTCTTGGGTATCTGTAGATTCAGTTTTGATTCTGAAAAATGAGAGAGAAATTCAAATAGTCTTCTTTCCAAGCTCATGCCTTTAAAAGGTACGTGTAATTTTAATGCGGTGTTGCAGAGTTTATAGCACATTTAAAGAGACATAACCATATTGCTACTGTTCAAGATATGTTTTGGTGCTACCTGCAATATATATAAATAAAATGTTTTATCTATGCAAGGTGTATGTAAATAAAGCATTTGAGTTTTTAACACTATATAGTGTCAGTCAGAAATGTAATGAAGCTGTATTTCATAAGCATTCATCTCACTGGAAACTCTCTGGATAGATGGTGTTGTCTCTAACATGCAGCTTATTTCCAGGATTACGTCACAAATGTGGCAGCGTGTGCCAACCGTGTTCCTGGCGTTACCATATGGAAGGATGGTGCACTTAACAGCAGACGCTTGTGTCAGGCAGTCACATGTTTAATATAGCCTAGTCATCACTAAATTAGTAGGAAGGAGTTTTACGTTTTAATTTTAAAAAGCAGTCAATAGAAAAAGTGAAAATCTAAATTTCTTAAGAATTAGTGTTTTTTAAAGCGTTTGCTTTAGTCCCATTCTTCTTCCTCACATCTCGCCACCCACAATGAAATCTTTCTCCAGGGAGACGTGGATCTCTTTCTGCTCCCCTCGAGGACGGTAGCACTGCAGTCATATGGGGCAGAGAGTCAGGGACAGAAGAATTGAGAATTGCATTTTCCCCTTGATCTATTTCTCGTGCCAACGGCGAGTGTATTGCAACTTTCCGTATTATTGCAACCTTCTGTATTATTGCAAGCTTTCAGTATTATTACAGAAGCTATGTTAATGGTACCCCATTTCTTAATGGAAATTTATCTCATTCTAAGCAGTGAATTGTTCTTAGCAATCTTTGATTTAATCTAAGCAATCCCAAGTGCAATGCGAGTGTAAAATACCTATTTTGAAAAGTGGAAGGTGTTAAATGAAATGCTTCTAACGGATGCACTGAGAATTATACATACCTCAAAGCCAAGTAAACTGCATCCAAGCTATAGTAAGACCAAATATGATGCAGAGCATACATGTGCAATTTACGTTAAGACACTTTGAAATGTATTTACTGTATTTTAAAATAAATAGAGGGTTATTACACAAGAAAACGTCAGTAAGATTCATCTGGAGTGCAAAAGCACTGTAGCAATAGCTTTATTCATTATTAAAAGCAGGGGCAATTGTTGGACCCAGCCTGCTGAATGCAGTCACTCCTTTGGTAATGAAATTTTCTGTGCTGAGACTTACGTCAGAGGGGTGACGATGTGAGGGGATGGCTCTGACGCCTTCAGTCACACAGACTGGTGCAGTCGGTTGCCTGTGGGTAGAAGTTCGAGCGAGTAACTCGCTGAGTCTGTGCCTGTAAAGATCTCTCTTATTCCCATGAGGGACATAAAACAGGACTGCCAAATTGTGTAATACTTGCTCATCACACCTTACATGAATGAACCTTTTAGACAAGATAAAGCATTCATTCCCTTCCACAGGTGCTGCGTTGTCTGGAAAAATGATGCCATAAAATGTCACTCAAACTTTTACCTGTTATGGCTTGAACTTGTTAGTCAATATGCTTTATGTGACCTTAAATCAGAGTTTAGCCAATTTTGGTTTTTGTTGTAGAATCTCTTCAGAGACCAGATGAGTATCTTAATATACTCCTTTAATTTACTGGAAAGAAATTTCTTATACATAAGAAAATTATATATAATGCAAATCGATAGAAGATGGCAAATGTAAGGGTAGTATTTGTCGCAGGTTTTCATCACTAAGCGGATGTTTGTTTATAAATATAATTACATTAAAGTTTGGAATTATTTTATTAAAAAGGTGTATTGATCTATCTAATACAATATCCTGTTACTACCAGTAGTTAGCAGTGGAGTTCAGTATTGCTTGAGAAGCAGCAATATTGTGGTGTGTGTAATTTTAAGCAATTGAGTTTTTCTGTCAAACCTTGAGGACAGGATTTTCAATGACACTCCTCGTTGGCATATATTTCATCACACTGATTTTAATGGGATCACATTCAGGTCAAGACTGAGAGTTTTCGAGAGTTTCACCTTTAAATTTGCAAGGAAGCTGTCTCTGTGGGGAGAGAACCACCATCGTTTTCTCCAGATCACTGTGAGGTGATGAAGCACACTTAAGAAAAGAGACTTTAGTTTTATTTTTAACCCATTTAGTCAAAATTAAGATGTTCAAAGCTAACAGAAGATAGTGGTTCTTAGTATGCTGAAAAAAATGCCCTTGCATTGCAGACTCCATGAAGTTTGCGTTGCTCAGAAACACAGCTTTGTGGTACAAAGTTGTCAAAGTTGTCTGCTTTAGCCAAACACAAACGTTTTGGCCCAATTAAGAAGTAATTGGGTGAAATTTAGTAACATATAGGAGGTAAAACGGGATGATTTAACAGCAATTCTGTGAATAAATCTGTGAGTTGCTGATCTTTGGTTGAATTTCTTCTTTTCCAAAAGTTATACCACTTTATTTCTGTGGGTAGTCCTCCTTCTATAGTAACTTTGATTTTCAGAGAAGAAAGGGAACAGTTCTTTAGTTAATTTGGTTTTTGAACTTAGTTTCTTAAGGCAAGAAGTCCTATTGGAGCACCTGTCCCTGTCTCTTTTTCAATCTATGAGAAGTTTCATTGGGTTTAGTGGTGGTTTGTGATTTGATTTGATGGAGATTTGTGAGTCTCTAAGGTATTAATTTCCTGCTAGCCTCATGAAAATAGATAGCTGTGGAAGGGTAGGATATAGTAGTAGTATCCTGTCCAGGGAAAAGGCTCCAATATTGTCTCATCCCCAGGTCGATCGTAGGGAATATCAGTGGGAGGAGAGAAGGGAGGTGAAGAAGAGATGATATGAATACTGGAGTCCAGAGGCTTCAGTTGCACCTGTCCCTTAATGGACACCAGAATATGCAAGTGCAAGAGAGAAAGCTGTAGGGAATTGCTTGGTCCTCTGAGGTCTAGGAGGAAATCCATTTAATATCTGTGCCTTGCTCCTCATCCGTTAGGCATTTGCTGGAAGAGCAAGAGCTACTAATTGCAGACAGGCTGTATACAGTTAGTTGCACTTTTCCGTGCCTCCAAACGTTCTCTATAAATTTTAGCCATTTAATTTCTGTGCCTACAGTCCTTTCCATTTGTATTGATCTATCTTGGCTTTGGGGCTTTTCCCAACATAAATCTGCTAGTGTTCACTATGCATCCAGCAGGTTGTACCCATCAGCAGGTCAAGGTCAGTCTCATCAAACTGACTGAGGAGAGGAAGCCACCTCAAGAAACTTCCTTCCAGCTGATATACGTAATTAGCCTCCAATTACAGCATTCGAAGAAAGTCCTTGTGCCCAAGGAATCAAAGTACACAACGGCAAAAAAAATCTGTGTTAGTGCATTAGCTGTGGTACCGCTTCTTTAAATAAAAGATGTGTATTTTATTTAGCCTACTTTTACTGACATATTTCATAACTTTTGATTTGCTTTCACTTTTCCCCTGTTTCTTGTATGATTTAGTGGTCAGAAGAAGCATGTGCAGCACATCTTACCCAGCGGGATGGATACCAGGCTGCTACTCAAGGACAGCTGAAAGATCAGCTATATCAAGAAATTATCCATTACTTTGACAAGGGCAAGGTAAAAAGGGAAGAAAAAAAGTCCAAATATGTTTCATTGCCTTTCTTTCTAACTTAAAAGTTGAATAGTAAACATAGTTTGCATCAAGTGACCTTCAGGGAGCTTTAAACTCGCTGCAAGGTATTTGGAGTGCTTTATGTAAACAGTCCACCAGCTAGCACTTAAAGATGATAATACTTTAAAAAAAAAGTGAAAAAAAAAATCAATGGTACATTTATAACTGCTGTGTTAAGGGTAAATATATGTGCATATGATGCCATGGAGAAAATAGAAAAGTGATGCATGTAATTTGGGGGACTTACTTTTTCTGGCAATTGCAATAGCTAATGCAATTCAGCTACCCGTGTTTTTTCTCGTGTACACAAAATAATTCCCTCAGAGAATGGGTGTCTGTGGTTCATATTGTAAGAAGGCAGAAGTATTCTCAGATGAGAATATTTCATTACAGTTGCATCTTTCATTGCAAGATGAATTTGCGTTTGGCATTGCCTGGTGGGAAGGGGAGAGTGCTGGTGTTACCGGTCCACCGAGATGAAGGGCGACAGGAAGATGTAGGGATGTATCAGTGTTTGGACATCTCATGCACAAAATGTTTAAATACAGAAGTAGAGATCTCTTTGTCAGAATATTTCAGAAACTTAAACTTGGACTTTTAAAAACAATCTTTGTTGCATAAATGTAGTGCAAACAGAAATGTCATTTTCTGGTAGAACTAGAATATTATCCAACCACCTCATGTTTTCCAAATAAGTTTTTAGCAGAATCAGATTAGTATTTTGATAGAAACTTTGCTTGAAAGGTCAAATTTTATACCTTATCTTAATGCGATATTTAGAAGTTGTTAATAAATGATGCTAAAAACATTGTCATTCCGGGCTACACAAACAGGCTGCGTGGGGCTGGGGCTTGTGTAGGTGCCTTGGTGCTTATGCAGTGGATAGCATTGGTTTCCACAGCACGCTTCTGCTGCCCAGAAAGCTTTTACTAACCCTCTGACAGCGGGTAAGGAGAACCTCGTTAGAATTAGGGTCATAGCTGATTTAAAAGTATATTTTAATATTACATTCCTCTCTGGAAAGGAAAAGCCAGAAGTCGCATGTTTTTATTTTGTTGTTTTACGTCTTTATGGCTTCACAGTTAGTCTTTTATGGTGCTAGTATACAGGCGGTGGGAATTGTTCTTCTGAGCACCAGCCCAATGCATTTTAGCTATAAATTAAAAGCTGCAGCGTCTTTTACATCTGTATTGAAAACAGCCTGTCTTAAAGTTGTACCCACCCGTTTCTGCTGATAGCGCTAATGAGCTGTTTATATAAACAGCAGGCAAAATACCTGCTGCTTACTTTTCAGCCTGTGCCACATTACACAGCACGGCATCCACGCTTGAGAGACCGTTGTTAGACTGAATAACCATTCTTAATTTTTTCACATTTTACAACTAGAAGTGAAAGAAGGCTCTGCCTGATTTCAAAAGAAATAGCACGGAAAATGCTGAAAAATCCCTTTCCCTTATAGCTAGATTAAACAACTGAATTTTCACTATCCTAAAAATTTTTCGTGAACAATGATATCGAAGGGACCACTGTGATTACTTATTCCTATTCCTTTGCATAACTCAAATCATAGGACTCCTGTGTGATTTTTTCGTGTGTGTGAGGAGATGATTCATTTTCAAAGTACTCTTTTCTAGTTACAGATATTTCTTCTCTCATTTTCTGGTCACTCCAGTTGGCGATAAATTGTTCAATGAAAAGGAAAAAAAAAAAAATCAATATACACTGAGAATATGAGTGTCTTATATGAATTTTCAAATGTCAGGAAGCTCAAAGTTGAGGTTTCCACAGTAAAGTTAATCCTCTCATTTGGGATGTTCTGACATTAGGTTACATCAACTGCTTACACTTACCTATGCAGTTTGCAAAGGTAGTCCAGCAGCTACTTTAACTATGCCATTCCATGATCAGTAACACATCTGAAATAGTATTTGCTGCGTGTTTTTAGAAGACTGTACGAGTACACTAACCAATTTGTCTTTTTTTTTTTTACCATAATTGCCCAGCTGTGTCTCTACCTGGCAATTCATTCAGGGTTGATCCCACTACTTTGCTTTCTCTTCCCTAAAGTTAAGAGGAGATGTCAAAAGAAGGTAGTTTTACCCTGGGCAGCTGTAGAGCTACCTCCAGGCTTTTACAGAAGCTCAGGAGTTTTGTTTTGAAGTTGTTGTGAGACTGTGCCTCTTCCACCCCAACCTGCCTGATGGGAAGCGGTGGACTTGAGAGGGGATGTAGACATTATGTAGAAGAAATGGAGGAAAGGAATTTCCTAAAAGGTGACACTTGGTTTTAAAACATTGGCTTTTTTTTTTAAAGGATGGTGTAGTTCAGCCTCTCAAAAGTCATGATCCCTTTCTCTTAGCAGAGTAATTTCCCAAGAGGAACGCACAGTGCACTTTTCAAGTGAAGACCATCCATGAGGCTTATTCCCTAAATATTAGCATTCATGATTCTATGAATTTAAAGGAAGGTATAATCCTCCGTACACAGACTGGAATAGAGTGGACCTCTCACTTCTAGACCAGAAGTGCCTGAGAAATTTGTAATTTAATAATACAGAGTGTGGGCTTGCACTGAAAGCAGGAGTGTGGACGTCTCATTTTGGCTGAGAACAAAATACTAGCCTTCACCATGAATATCCCTGTTATCTGTAGTTTGAGATCCATTTAAGAGTCTTCATTCTGATTTCTATTTTTTAATATATTATTCTTAGGAAGCTTGCTTTTTTACTTATATTTGACTTTTGGTCCTTAAACCAATCTTCTGTAAAGCTGAAGTACACCTTTCACCTTTAGTAAATGAGCAGTTTCAGCATTTCATAACAACTTTGCATTTTGCTGTTCTTCCACTTTATGGATTTGATTCCTTATTAGTAATACTTTTCATTACTCTTCTAAGTGCCTTGTTTCCAAAATGAAATGTTGTTACTTCCACATTTCCCTAGTATATGCACAGGTTTCTCTCCTAGATTATTATTCTTCACTGCGTTGCACTTTCCAGTCTCATCTCCATCTCTCTTGGCTTTTGCCCTTAAAAGCCTTATCCTCACACTTATCAGTCTAACCTATCCTTTGAACTGTTCTGAAGTGTTTGCTCTTTCTGTGTTTTACTGAAGCTTTGTAATTTTCAACAAAGCCCTTAATCCAGGGACTTTACTGAAAATTGGTAGGTTAGAGTATCTCAGGACGAGAAGGAAAAATAGTGGTGGGAATAAAGTGACGAGGGAAGGGGGTGAAATTTTGCCCGTGTGGAGCAGTTGAGGTTAGTCAATGCTAATGAACTACTGAAACCAAGAAATACTTGGTGTTGTTGACAAAGATAAGATACTATTTTTAAACAGACTTGTGGGGTCTCTGGAGCCGTAAAGGAAGCAGCAGCATTCTTATTCCTGCACGGCAAAACGTACAAATAGCAACATGTTTCATGTTTGCCAGCGGATGCCGCAGTCTATAAATCAGTACATGTTTTCCACTGCTCCTTCATAAATTGAAAGCATTGGCCCCGGGGAGAAAAAAGTAAATAAATGCACACTGCTCATTTATTTCCGCTCCTCCTTCCTTCCCCCCCTCCTCCCCCCACCCCCAAAAAAAAGCTTTTACTGTTTTACTGGAACCACAAAACACAAAATATTTGAAACGACACAGTAAATACCATGCTTTGGCTCAAAATGTCTTTTTTCCAGCTCATGGGATGGCATCAAATGGCTTTTTCTTCCATCTAACAAGATAGTGGTGAAATTCACCTGTCTGCCAAAAACCAGTGCGGGGCTCATGTCCAGCTCATATCTCACGTCAGATTGTAAGCTCGTCCTGAGAGCTGTGAAGGACAGAGACAGTCTTCAGAGAGGAAAGACACGGTGTTTGACCATGTTCCAAATGAATATAGCAAGTTGTTTTAAAGGGTTTCCAACCATGGCTATATCTTACACATCTTGAATGCAATACTAGCAATAGAGAAATACTGTGTTTTAACATTTTATTTAAAATATTAAGCTTACATGATGGTTAATTAACAATATCTGAAATTTAAACAGCTTGGAATGTCCCTTATACATCAGAATATTGCATGATAATATTCTTATCCTAGACTATTTCATTTTTACTGACCCTTGACTCAGCAGGAGCTAAGAAATATCCTAAGATCCTACTTCGCTGCTGTTAAAGAACCTCAAAAACTAAACTGGATGCTGCAGTTCTTTCAGGACAACAAGGAATCCAGCTTCAAAAATAAATTAAATTGCTAGGTTTTCCCTAAAAAGATCTCCTGCATCCTCAAAGTCTTTCCCATAACAATTTGCAGCTCGTGTCTACACAACTAAATTTAGGCTATACGCATTTTTCTTACGCCTTCAGTATAAAAGAAGCATTTTCCTTCCACTATCGCCAACCTCTCTCTCTGGTACACTCTCCAGATAAATTGTTTCTCGCATTAATGAGTTGTACATTGTACAAATCCTGTGTAGTAGCTCCCTGTTCGGCTCATTCCTCCAGAAGACCTGCCATGTCCTGGGCAAACCTGGGAAACCTTCCAAGGCAAGAAATCTGCGAGGCAGCAGATTGGGAGTTATTGACCTTCAAGAATATAGATTCCATTTATCAGGATCCTTTGCCACAGCCATGCTATCCTCACCTGAATAAATTTGCTCTGTAGTAAACAGAGGAATTTTTCAGAGGGTTGTGCAGGGGATTTTACACACACAGTTCCTGCTTCTGTTACGACATTGGAAAAATTACCAGCTTTGGTTTTGTTTTCAGGGACATTGCAGGTGTTGTGGTCCAGCTGCACAAACGGCCGAGGGAAAAGCCGGGTGGTTAATGGACTCGTGGACCTCTGGAGTTCAGGGCACTTGACATTTTACAAACTGAGCCTTAGAATACAAGTTCTTGGTGTTCCTTCGGAGGACTGAACCGGACAATTGGATTTCAAAATAGAGATGCTGGAGCGGAGTGGGGTTTTTAAGAGGTAGTAGCAACAAAAAGTAGGTGCTTTTCTCAGGACAGGTCCCTTGGCCGGAGAGGGGCCAGGTTAGAGGCTGGCAAAAATTGAAAGAATCTTTTCCCATGGTGAGGCACTTGTATCATGTATTTGCAGTAGGATAGAAAAAGAGTAGTTTTATATCTTACCTATACCTGAAAGTGTTCCATTAAAAATAATGTGACAAAGTATGAGCAGTATAACTTGTAAACTAACCTTTAAAGAATTTTTAAAGTAATTCCAGTAATTTAAGCCAGGAACAAATGTTGTTCATATGTGATTTTTTTCCTGTTCATCTCCACTTACAGATAGGGGAATGGATATTAGAATGGAAGAATGCTAGGATTGTGCAACTACTGCGTCTATATTGGAGATGAACTAAATCTATATCATAATTAATTTGAGGATTCATTTTTCAGGCTCTGAAACATTTATAAAATTCATTATTAATATTTATATTCAGTATCATCTAAAGGGTTTTGATCAGGCTGAGGGAGGCGCAACGGCAACGCAGCCTCCGCTCCGGAATGTTTACAGTCTCGACTGACAAGGATGGCAAGGGGGGAAAAAATAATCACACAAAAGATTTAATTCCACCAAAGTCGTCGTTTGTGCTACGTATAGGCATTTACATGTACGCAGTGCCTTCGACGGCGCAGGTCTGGTTTTGATGGGCTCCTGGGCGTTGCAGCAGTAGAGATGACAGTGACATCGGGGATGCTGTGGTGTGACCCATGGGCTGCGAAGCTGCGGTGCCATGATGGCACTCACCCTGAGCAATACCTACACGGCGTTTCAGCCTCCTCGGCTCCTCTCCTCCCCTCCTCTCTCCCGCCCTAATCCAGAATCCCCTGCCTCTTGATGGCCAGGTGTAATTAGCTTGCATTAAATAGCCTTAGTACTGAGCCGGTGCTTTTAGTTGCCAGGCGTGCTTTGGAAACGTGTCGCAATATCTGTGCGAAGAACGGAATGAGTTTGTTTACAGTGTCAATGCAAATGTAAAATTATTCAGGCATCCATTTATTTCCAATCTTGTTGAGCTCCAAAGCTGTTTCCCTGAGATCATCTATAAATATTTTCACAACAGAAGAGGGAGTAGAACTGCTTCGGTTTTGGAGAGGGACTAGTTAAATCCACAGCAAAATTATGGTAACGCTATTTTCTTTGAAATGAAAATGTGCAGAAGAAGTTATGGATGACTGAAGTTAAAAAGAAAGTGGCAGTCAAAATGAGGAAAGGTTAAGTGATTTTGAAAGGTTTCACTTGCTGACTTACCAAACAACTGAATATTAGTTTAGTTTCTATAAATTGGTAGTATATTGCTTTTCTGAGTCAAAATTTACTTAGCCTAGTATGTGAAAATGTACTCCATTTTCTGCAAATATGCCTCTGCTATTAAACTTATGTTAGTTTTTGTTTAGAAATAAAAATACGCTCAGTATCATCATTCTAGATTAGATACATAATGCAGATAAAAACATTCAGATCCTTCCATTTGCAAAAATTGCGTTGCAGAGTGTAGAAACTGCCTTGTGATTTCCTGCAGACATGATCCCTCATTACGGTGATTGTAATTAGTCATGCCGATACATTTTTCATCTTCAAGGCACTTTACTAACATGAGGTAACCTCATGCTTATTCCAGTCCTCTTCCCTAGATAAATAATATTATGAACCTTGTTATAGAAATGAGAAAAATCAAGAGAAGAGGTCGAACATCACGTGGAGCCGTAAGGAGAAGCTAATGTAGGTTCCAGGCTCTACTCCTTGTGAGCATCCCTCGCCTTTCTGTCTTAAATTAGGTCACCGCTCAGTCTCTGTTTGCCCAAGCGTCTGCCCATTTGTTTTCTTTAGGACTCAAAAGCTCCTTTTCCCTTGCTCAGCCATACCAGTGGCATTTCTGGCCCGTATTTTCTCTTTACTTCACGAGCGTAAATCTCTGTCCTTTCTCCCTGCGACCTCCTGTATCTATGTTTCCTTTTGCAGCTCCTCATCTCTTCCGCCATCAGCAGCTCCCTGCCTCGTCAGGCTGCTTCTTTCCATCCCTTCCCTCTCAATCTTTCAGTCCATCCTTTGCGGGACGGGTGCCCTCCGCTTGAAAATTGGCTCCTCGTTTCCAGGGAGGAGCAGGAACGGAGAGCAAACCGGTGGGACCCGAGCCGCCTCTTGCTTTTGTGGCATTGGCATGTTCCATGTAGGGGAAGGCTTACTGAGTATTCAGCCTGGCTGGGCTCCAAATTGCCAATTCCTAGGGAAAAAAAGATATTCTAGGTCCCAGGCTGGTGTTTGTGCCACCAGATCACAGGTTGCTGCTGTGCCCTGCCTGACTCCTCAGCCAGTGCTGGCAGCAGTCTCGGTCATACCGACAGTTGTATGAACCCTAAACGTTTTACTCTTATTGTTAAATCAGCATCTAGAACTAGGGATTTTCCTAAAAGTCTTTATTTTTTCCCAAGTTTTCCAGAAATTTGTGATTCCAACTTACAGATCAAAAGACAGATAAAATTCACCCAACATTGAATTTAGGCTTTGAGTGGTGGGATTTCATTTGTGTGTTTTGGGGGGCTTTTGGTTTTCAGGGGGGTCTTGTGGGGATAAAATATTTCTTATTTATGCACAGTGCGTTAAAGTGGGTGGGATTGTGGGGGGTCTGTGCGGGATGGATGCGGGAATCGGTTGTGTGCCTGAAGATTTCCCCAGCAGCACCATTCCCCTTCTCTCTCCCCAGCATCCAGCTTCCACCCTCTTTGGAAGCTGTGGTGCTTCATCTCAAACTCTTCGTTCCCAAAGGCGGATGTCTTCGGGGAGCGATGGGGAAACGTGTGTTCAGCCCTTTTCCTCAGCCCTCCTTCGTCCGGCTGCTCTTTGCAGCTGCAGCCATCTCGCTATTTCACTGGGGCGAGGAACATGTGGCCTGATGCTGAGAGGAGAATTAGGTGGTGTGGGCAGGGAATTTAAATTTAAGATGAAGGGTAATACGAACCAAATGGATTTATAACTCATTCCAAATCTCATTTTTTTAATAAAGTGAGGTCAGCAGTGCCAGCCAAATTTCCAGCAGCAGAGGCAGATCATCAAGTTTGATCTTAGATAGCCTGGTGTGCTAATTTAAGCCTCTTTTTAGGTTTGAGTGGTTCTTTATACTTAGAGTAGGGGAAAAAAAAAAGAAAAATACACATTTAAACACATTCTTGCTGCTCCTCATTAAGATTGTTGGCTTCTGAAGAGCTGAAGGATATTGTTAAATTTCTTTGGGTCAGTTGAGACAGTGCTGAATTTCATGGTTGAAGAACAAGAGAGGAGGAAGAACCAATGGAAATATAATGAATATTTGTTCAAAGCAGTATCTGCAAATTGCCTGTCCTGTCTAATATAGATTATAGATATTAGAGGGAGAGAGGGGTGATTATGAACTATAATCAATCAATAGCATTTATCCAAAGTCCTAGTTTCTGGTTTCTTTGTGGGCAGGCTGTGTTTACGCATTATTGGGTATCTAGTTGTGTAAAGCAGGAATCATTTTATTTCTGAAGCAATTTGATCATTTTACCTGATTTGCATCAAATAGAGACATGTGGATAATGCTGCCACAGCTATTTGGCACATCCCATGCACAGTGTTTTCAGGTGTGTGACACAATGCATTTTGTGGTGTTTTATTAAGATTTATTTTATTCCAATGTTGTTGTTTAATCAAGGTATGTAATTCAGGTTTCTTTTGTTGTTGTTTTGTGATTTTTTTTTCCAACAGATGTGGGAAGAGGCCATTGCCTTGGGTAAAGAACTTGCAGAACAGTACGAAAATGAAATGTTTGATTATGAACAACTCAGTGAACTGCTGGTAGGTTTTTTTAATGACATAGACACTACAACAATTTTTTCAGAGTTTAATTTCTAAGCTTTTAAAATTATATTGAAAATCTCTCTTATGGCATTAAACTGCAGAAATAGATGCCCGCTTTGGCTTTGTTGGACAAATGTTGATAATGTCTACCACTGAAAAAGATGGAATTTTATTTTATTTTAGCTGAAAGAAAAATAATTCAGTAATGTTAAGACGATTTATTTGGGGTATAAAAGGAAATTTGGAATTTAAATATAAATGGGAACATGAAAAAATCCCCATTCTCTCTCAAGTGCCTTTCCACATTTCTTTTTTTAGGTATGAATAATCCCCAAGCATTCATGTCTAGAGTCAGTTATTTTTGCCCTGACGGTACCCGTTCATTATGCCTGCACCATTTTTTTTCTCCTGCTCTTCTCCAAAGAGATAAATGGCAGCTGTCACTGTCCCTCCTAACTTCTCAACCATTTTCACAGGAGTTGGGACATGATTCCAGTTTGGTTCTGAAAAATCTTGGTTTTCAGGTTTTTGATACATTTTACCTTTGCACTCACCAGAGTAGGTCATCCTTAATTTCTTTAAGTTGTTTATCTGCTTTATCCCAGTCTATCAGAACTGGGCATTAATACGGTGTCATTGCACCCTCTTTCTCTGCTGACACTGACACTCAGTTTGAGCATGGCTAGGAGCCATCTCCCCAGAAGCATCTCCATCCCCATCTCCCCAGAATCTCCTTTCTTGGGGAGGAAGGAATAAAGGTAAATACCACTCCTCTCAATTTTATAGTTTCTTCGCTCCTTTACATGTTCTTCTTTGTTTTGTCCATAGTTCTGTCCTCCAGCTCTCTAGAGCTGAATTTATATCCCTTTTTGATGGTCCTTCTTTTGTGGCATTTCAACTCTTTTAGTGACAGACTGATTGTACTGATTTGCCTAGCAAATCTGGAGCCTGATTTCACGTTGCTTTGTGCAAGAGGTCAGGGATGTATACATAGAGCATTTCTCAGGTGCTATGGTATGCCAGAAGAGTCTTCCTTGGCCTCCTGCCTGTGCCACTGTCAGTAGGGCTGCGTTCAATAGAGAATATTCTTCATTTCAATATAAAAGGAATCTGGTAGAGTTTGTTCCTCAGCTAGAAATTATTCTCATGTGTCAGATATGATTATTCACCAGTGGGTAGCTACTCTCCGAGTCCCTCATTTTTAATTTTCCATCTCCTTTATGCTTGCACATGGGAACATGAACAGCTTTTGTCACGGAGGCAACCACTCTTTACTTATCATACTGTATCCATTTTTGGAGCAGAAGTCTGAATTTGCACTTTGTACATTGTAGGTGATGGCCAATAATACTGAGTTATGTATTTTTCCCCATTTCTCTTGCACAGTAAATATGTAATTGTTTACATTAAGTGACATAATTCCAGGAGAGGCAGTGCTATAAACCAGGTATGGTGCATCTGCACTTGGAAATGGAGTTTCTCCCTCTTCTAATAGGGTCAAACAACTGAGTTTACCTGCTTGTTGTCAGACAGGAGAAACAGAGAGAGATGTCACAAAAATTAGTGCCAGCATGCATTGGGCATTCATCCCTAATAAGGCAAAGGTCAAAATTCACACTCCTATATGAGTCAGGTCTCGCATACCCCATCAGCTTTTCTTATTGCTGGATAGCATTAGCATGCTGGCTCTTTTTTTTTCCCCCACTATAAAATTTAAAAGTTTTTTGTTTCTTTCTGTTCTCCCTATTGTCTCTTTTGTTCAAGCAATATTAAATATTAGACACTAAGACAATTCACAAATGACAAAATAGTTTTGCTACAGGTGAACTGAGAAATATATGGCAGATCTGGGTCTTTGTAGTCTTCTTGCCATTTAGTGTTATCTGTCGTATGGGAGCAGTAATAAACCTTCCCCCAAATCAGAATTCATTCTCTTATAAAAAGTAATAGACTAAAAATAAGTTAATGAACAGATCGTCTGAAGCTGCACATTTGTTATTATGTCATCATTTGAGATAAAGGAGGATTCCGCTTCAGAAACAGATGGCATCTGACATGCGTGTATTTATTCCAAAAGTTATATTTTTCTGCAGTTCTCAACTGTGTGCTTTCCGTATGCAAATAAATAGTTGTAAATATGGAGAAGAAGCAGCAGAAAAATGTAATGAAATGTAACGGCCGAAAACTGAGAAGTCAGCACCATTGAGATGAGCTGGCTTTAGCAGTACGTGCTTCATCGTTCCAGTGTTTCGGCATTGGCAGTGTCGCAACCGGGAATTCAGGCTGCCTTGCAAATTCTTGACCTTCATCAGAATCTCCATATTGGATATGGAATAGTGAGGTTCACCAAAAGGAGGTAAAAACAATGGCCACAGAGTCTAGTATTTCAAAATACTAGCATATATCTGATAGGTGAAGGAAAAGGGGTGAATAAGGAATGTACATCTTTAAGTTAGAGATATACATAAAAGAGATCTAGATCTTAAGTGTAGGGAATTATTAAAGTTCCTTCTACTTATTTTGCAGAGAAAGCAAGCCCAGTTCTATGAAAACATTGTGAAAGTGATAAGACCAAAACCAGACTACTTTGCTGTTGGATACTATGGCCAGGGATTTCCAACATTCATAAGGGTAAGTGTCCACCTTTTTCCACAGACGATAGCAAGGTTTCTTGCTTTGGAAATTTCCCTCAGTTGTGGAGAAAGTACATTATTGTTTGTCAGTGTTATTTACAGTCCACCAACATCGACGGTTGGTTTTTAGGTGTATAAAACAAAATGTTCCAGTTTCCCATAGGGAATAGTTGAATTTTAGTAGAGAAGCTTTTTCTTCAAACATATCCAATACTTTATAGTTCTTCAGGGTATCACTAAAAATGAAGATATACCACCCAATTCGTAAATCAGGGTAATAACCAGCACCATCTGAAATGGTGACATTTTTGCCTGACAGGTGTGTGTGTATATAGATATATATATATGAGTATGGTAGAGAAGCCTTTTGTATGTGACCGAGTTTTCATGTGAGTGTCCTTTCCAGCATAGTCACTAAAATGAAGTTGAATATCAGAGATGTGTGCGATACCTTTAAAAGCAGTCTTTTATCATTGATTTTCATGAGTTGTTTGTCAATTTAAAACATACGTCACTTGTTTGATGCTGGTAACATAAGTCCAGTAACATTTTAGATTGTTTCTGCTGATACCATGATTGTTATGGAGTTGAATTAGTGGCTAAAGAAGGGTGGGGATTTCACACATCTGAATTGCGTCTGTATCGTGATTCTCTGGACTCTGGCACTTGCCAGTCAGTGACATGGAACTAACGCGTTAGCTATTTAGCTGCTGCACTGCTTGTATCTGTCTAAAGAGCTGAGGATTTTCAATTTGGAAAGAGACTCTCTCCAGCCCCCTGTGGAAGAGTTACAGTAGATTAAGGCAGTTCAAGAGACAGAAGAATAAGATTATTCTTATTATTCTCAGATTATTCTCTAAGTCCAGGAGACTCAGAGAGCTTTAGTCTCAGGCCAGGGGCTGGTAGCAGGTTTCCTCCTGGAAATACGCATTTAGGAGGTGAGTTCCTGGTTGTAACTGAGTAATTCCATGTTAGCTCTCTCAGATTATGCCATAATAAATACCGGGAGCAAGCCCAAACCTGTGCTGAAGCCCAGCTCACTGGATAAATCCAGTGAATGCTGATTAAGCTGGACTTGTCAGATTAATTGTGGTCGGCTGCTCTTTCATGGTGTATTAAAATGAAGTAGGGAAAATCCCAAGAAATAAAACTTTGACTTAATCAGGTGTTCATCTGGAAGAAGCCTCCTTTTCCACTAACTAACTAAAGCCCATGTGAAGAAACTGAAATTCTTGAATCATCCCAAGAAGCAGCAAATACATGTGGCTTTCCACACCCCCTGGGATGCTGTACTGCAGGCGTTCTTGTCCTGAGAAGTGCAACAAATCATCAGTTCTTTGCAGCTGAAAGCAATAAAGCTGACCCCAGGCAGTGCCTGCCAGGCTAAGAGTGAATTTTGCAGCATCCATTCTGTGCAGACCATCAAACAAAAACTGGGAGATGAGCTCTCTTATGCTAACCCACTGCTTGGTCTCCAAATTATGGCTGGTCAACTCATGCCAAAGAGACTCTGAGTGTGCAGGAAGGTGGCAGGGTCATCGGTACCCAGAGCTGCCCCGAAGCTTATGAAATGCAATTCTGCAAACTGGCAAAGCCATATGTTAGTAACAGACGCAAAGGCATGATGGTGTGCAAGCTACCGTGTGTATCAAAAGACCAACTCTAAAGAGATGTGATGCGGAAAAACTAGGAATTATTGTGGTGTTTGAAATACCTGTAGAGTCATGTACGTGCAATAGCTTTTATCAAGCATCAAACAGCAAAAAATGTCTGTGGTACGTTAAGTAAAAAAGCTTTAATAAGATTTTTGTAAAATGTTTATTAATAATTTCTTAAGTTTTACCAGGCAAAAGGTATTTAATATCCAGTGAGAAGGAGTCACTGTTAAGATTGACCAACCCATTTCTCTAGAAAATGATTGAATTAATATTTTATGATATTCCTATAGGGAAAACTTGCATTATCAGGAATCTTCAAAACGATGAATGTACAGTAAAGTCACTGATAACTTTGCAAAAGGGATTGTGGCTATGGGTCATCGTGAAATTTTATCACACGTACAGCCACTCTAAACAGAGTGCACATTGTCCTCCAGAAACACCGGGAATATCCAGTGATCCAGAGCTGCTAACCAGAGAGGGGTTGCACTGGGATCACAACAGGGACGACAAGCTGTCTTGACTGAGTGCATGGAATCGCCGTGGGGTGGTTTGTCTCAGCCTCTAACTCGACCATCTATTTGCATACAAAAAGTGCAGAGAACACAACATGATTTTCCCATTGAAGTGCTGTGTTACACTGTATAGTCCAAGGGATACCGTGCAGAATAGTCTTAATCTGCTGTATTAATACTGAGCTGCTTTTTCACTTCACAACTGAATGGTTTTTTTGTAAGTGCAGGAAAACACTTAGCATGCTTTACAAAAGCCTCATGGATCGGTCAGTCTGTAATAAATGAGCAACAAAAACTCTGGAAATTTGGCTCTTAAGTGCCTGAAAAGCTGATTGAAAAAATCCTTAATACAAGCTTTTTCTCCTATTGTAATTTTTCCTGTGAGTTTCTGGTATATATACATGACTTACAGCTATATGTACACTTCTTAGGCATCTGCCCTTTTTTCTTTTTTTTTCCCCAAATAGAGAGTATTCTTTCATCTACTGTGCATTTCAAAAGGCACCATTGCAGAACTAAACCCAACTGGGCAAATGTAAATTATTCCAGTTTTCTACCCCTAGTCATAGCACCAGGTGTTCATTTTGAGATGAGTAATGAGGTTAAGCATATTCAGATGCAAGTGTTAAGTTCATATCAAAACTTACTTTAATATGTTTGATCAGTTAAAAATATGCAAGTCGTCTTTTACATTTTTCTTCAGAATGTAATGCGCTTGTTCAGTACATAAATGGACTATATAAAATATATCTCAATTTTCTTGATTGTTAAAAGAAGAAACCAATACTTAGAAATATAATATACTTAATTTAAAAGTTATGCTGTGTGCAAACAACTGTACAATGGCAAAAATCTAATAGACTAATGTTAAGTCTGGGGTGTATCAGTCTTTCTAATAAAGTCAGTATCTTTAGACCTTCCTCCTAAAATTGGAATCATTTTCTGTTTATGCTTTTCTCTGCTACTCTTGCTTGCTCACCTCAATGCCTTTTAAGAAATGGTTGTGTATAAAAAGCCTAGCTCTGTTTATTTACATCCATTCCACCATTAGCTGTGGAAGACGGATGAGAGGAATTACAGAGGGAGATCTTGGATTTGGCAGAGGATATAATTTGTCTTAATACATCTTCAGTGGGCACCTATTTTATAGATCCTTGATATCGTGTATTTAAAGCCCATTGAATTTAGCGTGGTTTATACATATGCCAATGTAAAATATCTCACTTAGCACCATTGGAGTCAATGCTTCTGAGGTCGCAGTTCATTACTGAGGATACTGGTATTAGGATTTCACCTCTCAATTTGTTTCCAGAACAAAGTCTTCATTTACCGGGGAAAGGAGTACGAACGCCGCGAAGACTTCGAAGCAAGGTTACTGACTCAGTTTCCAAACGCAGAAAAAATGAAAACGACGTCTCCACCGGGCGATGACATTAAAAACTCCTCCGGCCAGTGTATCCTTAGGTTGTGCAGCGGCTCCTGCAGCCGCACAGGTCGAGGATTTATGGCCAACATGAGCAGGAGACTGTTGCACTTCTGCCTTTGTGGGTGTAATACATTAATTTTGTTGTTCTGTTCTTTCTTCACGTTCCCATTGAGCTGCCAGTTCTGCGTGATTGAAATTTGCTTTTCAGTTCTTAACCCCTGAATTCAGATATTCAGTGCTTTACTGTAAAGCCAAAACTGGATTTACCGTCTAAATTTCACAGGCCAGTGTCAGAACAAATCGTGAGGTGAGTTTGGGTTGGTGTTGCAATTTTATCAGTCTCCTTTATAACACTTAAACTAGTTCTTGTTGTTGTATAACAAATCTGTACACAGCCAAGGAGGGTTGTAGTTGTGAGGACATTTCATGGGTATTCTTAATATTAGCAGAGATTCCACCCAACCCACTGGAAAACAGTGATCCCATAAGCATTTTATATTTAGGCATAAACTTTTGTTCTAGTACTACAGTTTAGCAGCACTTCCTAAACAGACAGTATTTGATTTTGGTTGTGCTTTTCCCTTTTTTCAGTTTCTATAGGGTGAATGAAGTCCAACGATTTGAGTATTCACGCCCTGTTCGAAAAGGAGAGAAAAACCCGGACAACGAATTTGCGGTAAAAAAAAAAAAAAAAAAAAGAGTACTTTTGAGGTTTACTTCTTTCATTTTGAGAATCTGAACCATTCATTATGTTATGGTTGTTGAAAAATAAATTCTAGCTTCAAATGTGATTATTTTTCATAGAAATTCGATTAAACCAATTTATCATGTTCTGTTTTATACCAATAGTAAAAATGGACAAAGCTGAATTTATTTTGTTAAAAACTAACTATGTGGAGAAAGAAGTTTAAAGTGGCTATACCTGAAAATATAGCTGTCTCTTGCCAAAACTTGTCTTACCGTGAAATTTCTAGTCAGGTGTCTAAAAATCTTTTTGCAGTAATACCTTTTTTTTTTTTTTGCTAAACAATATGTTTCATCTAACGGTCAATAAAACTCCCTTTGAGCACAGCTTGTATTCTTCAAAACGTGTACAACAGGTTACATCAAGTTGATTGCCTTTTTTTTTTTATAGATACCATTTTATTCACAGGGGTTCTAGTGGACACAGTTAGTAGTAAAGTAATAGTAGTAATTAAAGTAATAAATTAATGCATCATTTCTTGAGCAAAGAACACAATTTTCTGTGTAGTAGCAGGCTCTATAATCTAATCAATGTGCCAATAAGTGCTGAGTATTTGGTTCCCTATGGCTAAGACTGGGTATTCATTCAGAGACTCCTTTAGCGTCTTTGGCTTTCTTGGTGGCTGTTATATCAAAAATTGCTAATTGCTAAAAGATGTACTAATGTACGTGGGTTTAGCTGAGGAGGCAGGAAACCCTCTTTTTCTAAAACCATAATGCTAGAGCACACTACGGTTTACAATATGTTTTCCGTATAGATAAAAAAATTTAGGTATATTTAAATCACTTTGAAAGCTCTTCTTCTGTTAATGGAGGATGGAATAAACAATTCTGTTTTAAAAAAGCCCCAATAAATAAGGTGAACTACCAACATAAACGAGCTCTAACCAAATCAGATCAAGAGATGTCTCTGACATCGGTTATGAACCAAATATACACACGTGAAGGAAGAGATGTTAAATCACGTATCCTTAAATTCAAACCAGTGAGGAGATGTTACAACGAAGCCGTTGCAGTTTACAGCTCAGATGAAATCACAGGATCAGAAATTCAGGTCAGGATCCGCAGGTCAGGATGGGACCTCGGGTCCAACCCCTGCCCCAGGCAGGGCCAGCTCCGGGGTCAGACCCGGCTGCTCGGGGCTTTCCCCCAGCGGGTCTTGAAACCTCCGAGGAGGTCCCGCTGCTCCTCTGCCCTCCTGGGGAAGAAGCTTTCCCTATATCAAGATGTTGTCGTTTTGTGGAGGATGGTCCTTGGAAGCTCTAGAAGTTATGTGGGAAAAATGACAGTCCAGTAAAACAGGTGGATCTTTTACGTAGTAGTGTTCTTTGGTAAGAGAGCACTTGTTCTCTACTAAATCACGTATCAGATTTAAATCGGCGCCGCTCCACCGTCTCCCCAAGCTGATTCCATTTGAAATTTCCCCCTGGCTTCGTAATGTCTGTCGTAGTGCGGTTCCTTTTCCTGATAATAATGTTTTAAGGCTTTGCTTAAGATAAAAGCTATCAATCTGATAACATGATGTTTATGTTGTATTTGCAGAATATGTGGATTGAGAGAACCATCTACGTGACAGCGTATAAATTACCAGGGATTCTGAGGTGGTTTGAAGTCAAATCAGTTTTCATGGTAAGATCAATTTGGCTTTATTGCAATTGCATAAAAGAATGGGGCTCTTATACAGCCAGGGAGCATTTATATTTCTGCATGACTGTGCTTCAGTTCTGTGAACAAGCAATCAATGTGGCTATATCTGGCATCCTAAGACAAGGGAACTTGCTTGCTGAGGATGCTGATTATTGACTGAGGGTGACTCAAGTAATGCTTTTCCACTCCTGAGAGAGGGAAATGCAGGCTGACTCTTCCAGGCCTTTAGGGCAAGGTCCGATCGAGTGCTTGAAGCACTTTTCTAAAGTATTTCTGGCTTTCAGCAGGTGAGCCATTACAGCCTGTGGTGTAAGCCGTGTGCCTAAAATGAAGAGGGACCCGAGGTGTTGTAGGGAGCCCTGCTACATCAGAATGAAACTAGTCTGAATTTTGGAAAAGAGGATTTGGGGATTTTGATTGTAATTTATTCAAAATATAGCATAAATCGAATGCGTTGTATGTGTCTGCATCTCTTCTCTACTTATCATTTGCGATTAAAGGTTGTTTTTGTTTCTCCTCCATAGTTAGCTAAACTATACCCTAGCAACCTCACAAAGTAACTCCAAATTACGCATTTCTCTGTTCTACCATTTAGACTGTTTAGATAAGACATAGCCATTAAATGCCTTTAAGATTAAATTATTCTTACGCAGCTGTAATTTTTAAGTAGCAATAAAAACATTGTTACTGCAGTTTTTTAAATCTCTCTTGTGAGGCTTATTTTTAAAGGAAAAGAACAATTTGCATATGATTAATTAAAACCTTTTTCATTGCTCCATTGAGGTTATGTTGGACAGTTGTATTTAGATGAACAGAAGTAATGCAGAAAATTACTATGGTATCTATAGTAACAGAATATGAATGTGATGTTTGACAGTAGTAGGCAGCTGAATAAAACACATTGAATTTTTAATGAATTTTGTATTTTCAATATAATCCTGATAGAGAAGATTGTATTTATCTTCATGATTGCAAAAAGTGTTGTTTATAAAGGCTGGCAAATCTGATGAAAGACTCTCTTCTTTACGAGTTAAGAGCACAGCCTGACAGGCTGCTTTATGCAGGCAATTTGTATACGTGCACCTTTAACGCTATGCTTGTCATCAAAAAGTGCATAAATCCTGGGAGAGTGCTTTCTATAAGCTTTTTGTAAGTAAGGATTATATTGCTCGCATAGCTGAAAAATGATACCAGAATAGAACTTAATAATATGTGGGAAGACGGCAATGGATAACTTTTGACCTAGCTCTGGCATAGTTACTACAAAATTGGTATTGACTTTCTTCAAGATTCCTGTCAGCTAAAATGCTGGAAGCACGATCACTAGGTTTACATCCCTGTAATGCTTAATTTTGATTATGGATACAGATATTATTGATGTTTCGCTAAACACGATGAATTAAAGCAGCCTTGCACATTTCATATTTTATTGATGGAACTAGAATATCTTTAAAGAAAGAGGTGAGATCATATCAAATCAGTGCTGAGAGAGAACTGAGTAATTTAATAAATGCGGTGTATTATGTTACATAACCCACAGGAACATGCATAATTTCCTTAAATCTTCCTATTTGCTTTTTAAATTCCTTCTGAGTACTTTTACCTAAACCTTTTCAATCTGTTCATTATCTGCAAGGAATTTGTTGTACACTTTCATTATTCTGTATCTGATTTGTTTTGGCTGGACACAAGTAGTCGTAGGGGGAAAATTTGCTGAGGCCAGCCAGTGAATTAGAAACTGGATTTTGAATTATACTTGGTTTTAAAAAGTACAAATACTAATCTCTATTTCGTTTTGATGTTTAATTTTTTAGTGTTGCAAATGTATCAGGAGTATATCATTTCTGTTTGCCATGAATAGATTGTGTAGTGTCCAGAGTTAGCAAGCTACTTGCAACAAGGCTTATAATTTACAAGTATAGATATTTTTAATGAATAGCTTTCAGTAAGGTCCAAAGCACAGTTTATAGTAGTAGGATGGGAACTGCAGTCCTCCATCTGCTTTTAAAAAACTAGAGGGAGGATTATAAGAGTAGTAAAAGAAAGGAGAATGAGAAAGCAAGCCGTGATTGCTGATATAGAAAAGTCAAAAAAGATGTCTGTCAGCTCAATGAGTGCTAATTTCTGCAGATATTCAAGAGCTTTAAAAGCAATGGTTCATCAAGAAATCATTCCATGGTTATAAGCCCATTAATACAAATAACAGAATCCTAAATTTAGCATGTGGTGTTTGCAACAGTTCTTGCCGAATCAGATGTTGAATATGGTCTTACTTTGCCTGTCCAAATTTCACTTGTAGCACGTTCAGCTCTGAACGGCAGTCGTCATCTGTCCGTCTGAGCCTGGTCTGCTCCGCAGCCACAGCAGAAACATCAGGCTTCTTACCTGCCTTCCAGAATAATTCACCAGGCATTTTAAAATGCTAATTAAAACATTCTTGATGTAATCAGATGGCAGGTGTAAGAGTAACAACTAAAGAGATTTGATTATAAGTGGTTCTCAGAAACATGGTAAGCAACTGATAGCCAGGTAGAAGTGCTTCTTTGTTTATGTAGCATTTATGTAAATTAGGGTGTAATCAAACACAGACTTGCATTTTCCTCACAGGCCTCAATTAACCTTCCTTTTCTATTCCTGCCACATCATTTTTTAATGTCCGTAGGCTATGACCTAAGTCTTCCCGTGAGGACTGTCCACACTGTGGGTTGCTGCAAGTTAGTGATTTTTAGCCCATTCACTAAATGTACATATTTTAGCAATATTTTAAATATTTTAATGCTGTTTTTTCAATATGAGCAACTGTCGTTCTGAAAGACACAGTATCTGGTCATAAATAATAGTTGGAGATGAGTCAATTAAAATAAAGCAAGTTTTACACAGTAGAAAGAAGACATGAAGACATCTGAGGAGCTCTCTTCATTGAAGTCGGGGCTATGTGAGAAAGAAAATTTCTTCTTCAGTTATCGACATTCAGATGAAGAAAATGTGACCTCGGGGGAAAAAGCACAGCAGATAGCTTAGAAGTCGTCTCTTCAACATATTAAACTCCATTTCCTTGGAAGTACACCAAAATAATCACTGCAAAAATCTCCTCTTGATTTTTGAGCTGTTTAGGATTACATTTTCCGTCGGAAAATCCACATTAAGTTATCATTTCTTTCTTACTGTTACATTAAGCTGGATCTTCTTTGTGCTGCTAAAACTCACTGACTTGTAATCTCTGATGTTCTCCATAATCCTCCAAAAACCTCACGTGATTCCTGTCAGAGCCTTTCTAAATGTTGTGCTGAGGTGTAATCCATTCCGCAGCAGTGAAATGCATTTAACTTTCTCCGCTGATACTGATTATCGTATCAGTTACTGCAGTATATCGATACCAAATACCTAAATGCCTGAAACCACCCTTTCTGTTAATTATTGGTTAAAATATCTTTTGTATTGAAATTCCTGAAATGTTTCTAATTGTGGTGGTTTGGTTGACAGCTAGTTCTGTGGCAGGTTAAAAGCTCTGCTCCTTGATTAAACCTCCTTTTGTTTTTATTTTAGGTTGAAATTAGTCCACTGGAAAATGCAATAGAAACCATGCAGCTAACAAACGACAAGATCAATAATATGGTTCAACAGCATTTAAATGATCCAAATCTACCCATTAACCCTCTCTCGATGCTACTTAACGGCATTGTGGATCCTGCAGTCATGGGAGGGTTCACAAACTATGAGAAGGTAACGTCAAAATGATCTGTCCTGCAGTGCTTCACCTCTTGAGCCTGGACTCTCCTGGAATGCTGCAGGACGTGTGTGTGTGTATTTGTATATAAACACTATGTGAGTGTCCCTTCATATGTGCGTTGTAGAACGTTGCTTAAAACTTACCTTTTTTAATGGCTTTCTGATATTTATGGATATGGTTTTGCCTTTCTACATTTGAAGTAAGAGTTGATATGTTTAGCAGCAAGAGTACTTATGTAGGGACGTGGTGGACAGTTGCTTGCTAGAGTTAGACACTGAGACCGATGACATTTCCAGCATGTGCTCTCACGCGCTTGGACATCGGAGCTTCAGTGACCAAAGTAACCGATTGCAATTCTCTCCTTTGCTTTCAAATGCATGAGTTTTGAAAGGATTAATCAAATGGTAGAGACTTCTGAGATACCAGTCAGTTGCAAATATGTGTAAGTAATCTTAACTGTCCGTTTTACAACATCAGCTTTTAAAGTTATATGGGATATATTACTTCTGCCAAGTAACTAGTGATAGGACGAGAGGAAATGGCCTCAAGATGCGCCAAGGGAGATTTAGATTGGACATTAGGAAAAATTTCTTTACTGAAAGAATGGTCAGGCCTTGGAACAGGCTGCCCAGGAAAGTGGTTGAGTCACCATCCCTGGAAATATTTAAAAGACGTGTAGATGAGGCGCTTAGGGACATGGTTTAGTGGGCACGGTGGTGTTGGGTTGATGGTTGAACTTGATGATCTTAGAGGTCTTTTCCAACCTTAATGATTCTATGATTCTATGGTAAGATATTCACATAGGGAAATGATAAACACTGTATCAATTATTTATGTTTTAAATATTAATCATATTAAGCTAGCATACACAAGCAACATGTATTTTGTAACACAAATGGAGAAGGTATATGCTGACTGACATGTCACTGTATCCATCCGTTTGTGTCCTTCTGTAACTCTCCTCCATTTCATCTACCAAAAATTCTTATGCCCTGGGAACTGCTAGAAAGACGTTTCAGAGATGTACCAAGCAGAAGTCCCCTGCAGGGTTGCCCACGAGATTTGGTCTTGATCACCATATGCTCATCGGCCCACTTTTCTGCTCACGAAAGATTGATGTCTTAATCTTAAGACACGGTGAAATTCTGTATCTCTTTCCTAGATTTTCACTTCGTGTTTGTAGCTATTAGTGCTATTTTGCAGAACTTTAGGGTTGATTCATTGATCTTTGCTATAGGCAATTCTTCCATGGTAGATGTTGATTCATTTTCTGAAATAACTGCTTATTTCTCTCTCTTGACTAGGCTTTTTTTACTGAAAAATATATGCACGAGCATCCAGAAGATCATGACAAGATTGAAAAACTAAAGGATCTGATTGCTTGGCAGGTAAAAAATTTTAAGTCAGGTTGGTTGGGGCGAACGGCTTTACAAAGACAGTTTAGTGTCACTTTTGAGAAAATTCAGACATTAAACTATTCACCCTGTGTACACTTCTTTGGCATTTAAAACTGTCTTGAAACTTGAGCTAAAGTTCATCTTTTCAAATCTGACATCATTTGTCATTTGATAAACCCACAAGGAACAAACATGATCAACCTCTTTTTTTTTCTTTCCTTTTTTTTTTTTCTTTGGTAACCCTAATACAGTGAATATCTCATCTGTATCAAATGAGAAAATATTTTTAGTAATGTTGGTTAGTATTACTGGCAATTTAGTTTCGCATTTTAATTTTCTAAGGCTGATTTCAGAAATTCTTCTAAGACAGTAAGGTGAAATGCTTAACCCTGAATCCCTCCTCCTGCTTGCACGGACTGGGACAGTATTTATTCACATATTCACTTCTTTCTTCAAACAACGTGTTTTCCATTTATTAAACTTCCTATGTATACTTATGGTACCTTTTACCACAGAATATTAAATGCAGGAGTTGCAAAAACTAACTTGCATGCAAAACTTTTAGTAAATTCATCGTTGTGAAACCTTTGCTTCATTTGCTGTATAACTTAACATGGTACAAAAACATTATTGCTTCATAAAGCATGTGAAATTACTTGGTATTTTTATGATGACATATTAGAGCAGAAATCATTTAAATGTAGGATCACACAGGTAATATTTCCTGAACCAGGAGTGGAACCCAGGTTTCCAGCCCAGTGCCTGAGACAAAGCAGGAACGCCCTCTTGCATGAAGAACTGTGTTTACAGGTACCAAAGAATATTTTTCAGGGCTAACAAGAAACAATTCCAATTTTGTTTCATAGTCATACACTGGACATTTTTCAGTGGTCTCAAGATAATTTTATAATAACTAAAAAAATATTAATATGATTGGAAATGGTTTTCCCCTAGAAGAAGAAGGTGCATCATTGTCTTTTTATATTCAATTTTGTCTTTATAATAAAGGAAGTAATTTACATTTCTGTAGGTTTCAATCTTAGAGGTAGTAGAACCAAAGATACAGAGTTCAAAAAAAAAGGTCCTCTGAAAACCATAAAATTATCACTGAATAAAAACTCTTTTCATTTGCCAAAAAAATTATGTATTTATTTATTTATTTTCTCATGAGCTTTTACAGAAGATTAGATTTTAGGAGCTTTAATTTTTTATAGAGGAAAATAATTTGATCCCAGAAGACTAACTTGATGTCCGCTGTCTTTGCCTCTGATAGCGATACTTCAAATGAATTGCAAACACACTTTTCCTCAGCAAAGATTCATTCTGGTGACATTTGTGTATTAAAATAATATTACTATTTGAAAATATGTATGGCAGCTAATCCCATTGTATTTTAATTATTCAGTGGTTTTAAATACATAATTTCCCATCAGTATGGTAGTTCCGAAACAATAGGAACCAGAAAAATAGGAAAAAGGGATCAAAAACTATTTTTATATCTGAAAATTCTTTTCACTAGAAGGTCTAGCCATTTCACGGCGGAAATCAGCGCTTTTGAATTACCTTACACATTCGATATACATTTAATGTATCTTAAGACTTAAACCTCTTCTCAAATTATTTCAGTTTTCGGAACACTGGCAGCAGAAGAAGATGGGAGCAGGGTGGGGAGCTGACTGCCAAATATCGGCTGGTGTCAGGAGAGGGAGTTGTTATGGAAACTTTCCGAAGTGAGGCAGTGGTCTGAACTCATCATGGGCTTGACAGTGATTGAAAGCAAAAATGAGTTTTCATTTTTCAATAATGCGGGGCTTGGAGTTTTGTAATCACACAGAGATTTTCTTTATGCTGTATAAATCAATCTGGATATATGAAATAGTAGCCTGACAATCATATTATCAGCTGACTAGTTAAATTTAATTTTTTTTCTATCCCCTTATGTTACCTTTTTCTCCATTGTGCTGTGGAATTCGTGCTCTTCAGGATATTATCCTTTTGTAATTCCTGTGAACTTTAAATATACGGGTTTTTTCTGTCTATTATTTTTTCAGATAAATATCATTAGTAAAGCAATGTCCATTTTTGTCCATCCTAGTGCTTTTTCAACTTAGAAAAAAATGTTTCCATGCAACTACATCATTTCAAGCTCATCTTTTATTTTAACATTAAGATAATGAAATGATTGATTGAAATTATGGTAATGAAATGAATGATTGATGACATTAGTCACTCTGTGTTTAGCTAATGTGTTTACAGCATACCAAAACTAGTATGTCACATAAAAATCTTGTGCTACTTCTACGTAGCTGAAAGCATTCTAGCATACAAAACTAAGTTTTTACAATCATATTTTATGATACCATTATTATGAAAGATTTTCTTTTAAGATGTAAGATTTTCTATTAATTTTAATAACTCAAATGTATGTAGCTTTTTCATTCTTTTCAGCCAAGCAGATAAAGATCCTTAAAAAAAAAAAGAAAAAAAATCGGGGAATAATTTTAAGTTGCAGTGGAACTATAAAATTCTAAAACCTACAAAGATTAGAGTTATGGAATAAGTGCTATCTTGAGCTGGTTTCCTTTCTCATGCAGCTCATTTGTTTCTAGTTCAGCTACTTACATTACCTTTACTTTTTCATGCACCTCTCCAAAGGTGAGGGCACCCTGTAGGGTCTTTCGAAATAGAGCCGTAAGCAAACCCCCCCATTGCTCTAAAGCCAAATGAATTGGCAATATTGGGAATGTGGCAAAATTCTGCCTCTGTCTCCGCATCCGATGAAGATTCATATAGATGTAAAATTCAGTGTCACTCGTCACCAGATTTCCCTGGGTCAATGTCTGGAAAGGAGATGTAGGAAGAATTTTGAAGTTAGGAGAAGCAGAAATGGTAAAACAGACTAAAGGTACTTTCTTTCTGGACTTGATAAATGTTTAAAGGATTAAGTGATCTTGGACAGGGAGATCAAATATCCTGACTCAGAAATCTCACAGAAGTTCTGTAGCAAAGCCACGGGAAGTTTATTAAATTCAGCTTCTGTTAAGGAATAACAAGCCTTTTCTTCTTCTGTTGTTTCTGGTCATATTTCGTTCCCTTATAGTTGGTGCCTCCTCTTGCCCATTCCTCGATCTCTTGACAGCAGTCTTCAGGTGCTCATGTTCTCCCAACGCAACCCACACTCACTCCAGCGGACCTGGCCATCAACCCCCCTATCATTTTGCTTCTCCAAGTGCCAGAAGGTCTCCACGGCTGGTTGTATACCAGTGTATGCACCCTGGTGTATGCCAGCAGTGAAACCCTCCTTAGCACCTTCAGTCTGGGGCACAGAAGGAAGCACCTACCTTTTTTTTTTTTCCTGACTGGGAGATTTCCCTACAAGTTGCTTGATTTTCTAAATTGGAGATGGCTGATCCCTAGGACAGGCTCATTAGTGCATTTTCTGCTTGTAAAAATTATCTCAGGGCTGAAGACTCAGACCCCACGAGTACTTCGTCTTGATAATTTGATTTTTCTAAAAGAATCTATTTTAAAAGTCCGCAGGTTCTTTTAAAGAAATGAGCCAAGTGACCACTTACCCCTGCAAAATAGGAGGGTCAGAGCGTGGCCTGATAATTATGAAAATTTGGAAATTCATTTACTTACTCAGAGCAGGGAAATTTTCTGATTTTAATGTTTAATTTTTGTAGAGTGCAAATCCATATGGCTATAAATAGAAGTGGCTACAGTAAAAAATTTTGTCATTATTTTTACTTCTTTTGTAGTCTTTTAGAAAAGAAACTGTGTCCATTTAAATAGTGCCAAATCACAGAGAATCATCTTGATAAGATTTCTTGAGTTTGTTCATCTGTAATTCATCTGTGTATTTATTATTCTCCTTACTAATAAAGCTACTCCTTCTGATTGCTGCTCAGTCTTATTAGAAAAATCTGTTTTTAATCAGTATTATGATTTAATTATGAATTATTAAGAAGAAGCCTCTTAGCTTGATTGCTGCAGAGAATATCTAAGTTAGAATGAGAGCACTGTGTGGGCTGAAACGGACCTGGAAGAGAAAATATTTTTCTTAAGCTGGAGGTAGAAAACTCTAATGGTATGTCTGGATAGCTGTGGGAATGAAAATGTCTCTCTTAAAACATTTTAAAAGGTCAGCTACACCTCCACACTATGAACTAATTATATAATCTTGTGTTGGCATGGATATTTTGTGACAGAAGCCTTGAAGATAAATGATTATTTTCAGTTACAAAAGAGAATTAATTTTTTTTTTCTCTTCTGTTTTGTTCCCAAAGAAAATAAAATAATTTTTCCAAGGAGAAATGTATAGTATATAAAACTATATGTTTTATTAATAAATATTGCTCTGCAGTATATACGTGTCCAAGGATATAGCTCATCTGCAGTTTTAGAAATAGCATTTATTAAAGAAAACATACAAGTATTTTTTCCTTCAAGGTTTTATTCTCATGAAACTGGGAAAGGACTGATATTAATAACCCGGTGTGAGAGTCGTCATTCATCACCATCAAAATGGCATCAGTTTGCCATTTTAAAGTACAGTGTGTATGGGGGCCTGTGAATATAACATCACAGGAATATTTGTTATATATGCTGTCTGTTAAATTCAGTATATGATTACTAGGCAGAACTATGGGTGTATTAATTTTAAAGGACTTTGGTTAACAGAGAAAAAAGGAAATAGTGTATAACAGATTTTTAGAGCTTCTTATACAATGAATGGTGCTGATGATTATGATGATGGTGATTGTTGTTGTTGTTATTATTATTATTGTTGTTATTATTATTATTATTATTATTATTACTCCATTAGATCTTTCACTCCCCTTGCAGCATACGTGGGAGTCTTGCCCTAACCCTTCGCTTAGGAAGGACTGGGCAGACTGAAGCAGCGTAACTCTGTTTTCCAGATCCCGTTCCTGGCGGAAGGCATCCGGATTCACGGGGAGAAGGTGACGGAGGCACTGCGGCCGTTCCACGAGCGGATGGAGGCTTGCTTCAGGCAGCTGAAAGACAAAGTAGAAAAACAGTATGGGGTCCGCGCTGTCGTAAGTTACCTGCTAATTTTATGTTTCCTAAATATGCAGAATTTCTCTAAATTATGGGCAACTGTGTATTTCTGTATTACAGTTCCCACTGATTAAAAAAGCAATGTTGATGCAGCATTGCCCAGTTCTCAGCAGTCATCAAATTATTAAATACTGAGCAGATGCTATAAGAGATGTTCAGAAAGCCTTGGTACTTTCATTTTCTAGCGTGGGAACAATTTCTAAATTGCCTGAATCTGTTCCTTGAAAGTCAAGATAATTCTTCAATATTCCATTTTTAAGGAATTGGGTTTTAAAAAAAAAAAAAAGCCTCTATAGCATGATATTTCTAGAGCTGAATGTCACCTTTCCATAGATGTAATTCCTTTTGAGATGCGAAGGCTGTGCTGCTCTACAGTAGCGTGCAGTCTTACATACTCTGGCACCACAGTAAACATAAGCAAGCAATAAAAGGATAGCTGCTACTTAATGAGATTTAGTAGTGCTGGAGTTCATGCTTTTCTCATTCCAACAAGTTATTTTCAGTTGCTGCTTCATCTTTAAGGCACAGCCAAGAATTTGGTGGTGTTTCCACTGCTTTTGAGTGTTACTCATCAGGGAGGAAGGCCAAAAGCCAGCATACAGCTTCATAATTCAGAATATAATTGATAATTCAGTCAAAAGCCACGTGGATTGGGTGCTAGTATATGATCAGTTTTTAAAATTATTTAAAAACCCAAGATGCAAGTGGTTAGAGTTGCTCTAGGACTGACTATGTGGAGCTGATGTCCAAATAATATATTGAGGGCTGCTGGGGTGAGCTTTATCTCTGTCTACACGTAGTCCTGACGTGCTATAATTTTTAGGTTTATTTGTGAAATGACAGTAGTACGTGAAACTTGCATATGCAGTATATATCTTCTCACTGCTCCATAAAATAAAGCACATCCTATTCAGCAGCAAAGACCTGTATGTCCTCTACCATGCACGTGTGCCAAGATGACCTGGCAGGCAGTCGGCTCCCTGTGATGGCGAGGTGCGGCTCCTCTCCTGCCTGGTGTCTCTGCAGCCCCCCCACCTCGGCAGGGGACACCCCACGCAGCCCTGGGGAGGAGGATGGCACCGCAGGGTGCCGTGGTGGCAGTAGCCTGTCCTTGGCACGTTGGAAGTGCCAGGAAATTCTGGGGTCCCCCCCCTTTGCTGCAGAAGTTTTTAGCTGAACTTGGACTCGCCAGATCTACTCGCTGTTGAGTTGCCTGGTTCGTTTTGGTTCAGGATATGTAAGTAGGCTTCAAGTATATCACTTGCCCAATTTTTAGAGAAAATTTTACCTCCAAAAGAGCAAACAGTGTGGTATATTTGGGACGATACGCATTTTCCCCAAATTGGACTCAAGAATATCCTATACCAGAAAACATTCCCACAAAAAGGACTGGTATTAAAACAAAATGATCTCGAAAAGCAGTGATTTATTTTTAAGATTGCAGAGATCTTTAAGATTGCACAGATCCACCGTCTGTCAACAAAAGCCATCTAAAAACAAAGGAAATCACCAGCAGACCATTAATTACTGGGCCATGGCACAGGGAAGCCAGCTTGCCAGCCAGCACTTTGGACTGCCATCTCATCTCCATCCCTGGCTTTCCCTGGCATCCTGGAAGCAGATAAGGAGCTTGCACTGTAATCCCATTAACTGCCTTTTAATAAGAAAGCCAGTTAGCAGGTCCCAGCAGGTGAAGGACGTGGCATCAAATGGCAGGTGCTTCCCTGCAAGTGCGTGGTGGTTCCTTATGAAAACGCCAAACTGCATGGTTGCCCCAGTTGGGGTTGGGTCATCATTTTTGGAGGTGCTGCATCAATTCACATATAGTATTGAGGCAGATATTACTTCATGGGTTCAGATTTTGAAGGTTATCTCTGCAGCCATGAGGCTAAGAACGTCTGCGGTTGTGATTTTCGCCTTGAACCTGTGATTTTGAAGGTTATCTCTGCAGTCATGAGGCTAAGAACATCTGCGGTTGTGATTTTCGCCTTGAACCTGAAAACTCAGTGTCTAAAGCCCAATTCACAGAGGAGAGATCACAGAGAAGAGAGTGGCCTCTTCATGCCCTCCCTGCCTCCCCATCCTTAAACCCTCCAAGGCAAGAATATCAGATGGGAGCTCCATCACAATCTAGTCCTCAATAAATTAAGAAATAGAAGATTGAGAAATAGAAAAAAAAAGAAATTGATAACAATTACAAGTTCTCCAATTTTACCTCTGCCCCTAAATAAGTAGCAGTCACTAAACTGATTCTAGAAAGAATGAAGCAACCAAGATACGCCTGAACAGCCTTAAACCAGCACCCTCTTCATCCAGTTCTGATTATGGTCACTAACGGGTGCATGCCACTGAGTTTATGGATGTCATGCCAATCGCATCAATATAAACAGGGTGTGAATTTGGTTCCAAATTATCTCTGGAAAATCCCCCGGAGATTTATCCTGAAGAGTGGATGGTGCGGGATATGGTGAGGGAGAGAGCTTCAGCTTTCTGCTCAGCGAGGTGCAGAGCATCCGGGATGAAGGAGGCGGCAAGAAAGATGCTGCAGCAGGCGGGCAGCAAAAACGTGCCAAGTGATGTTGTTCTCTGAGTGCCCAAAACTTCGGTGGAATAGTACACGCCAGTGAAGTATCCTGTTGTATTTTATGACAGGCCTTCCTTCAGAGATTAATTTTCACTTTTGTCTATAGCGATGACTTTTTTTTTAATGGGAACACTGAGATCTTATGGGGAACGTGCCAGCCGTTATGGTGTCCTTCTAAGTGGTGTTCCTTTTGTAGTCCTTCAAGTCCCATCTTGCTAGTATATTTAGGAAGAGAAAAGTTCAAATAGTAATTTATTCCCAAGGAGAACAGGAATAATTGACATTAATGATATTTGCATGTCAGTCACTTCAATAATATACATTTACATCATCAGGGAGATGACTGGAAAGTCATACCCAGGTGGTGTTATCTTTCTAATTTCACTCTACCCACCAGTAAGAATTGTCAGGATTGATGGAGTTTTATCGCTTGTACAAGGCCAATTTACCAGTAGTTGACAGGGTGGAAAATATACCTGTAATTAAACAGCATGAGAGTCTTATTTGTTGACCGAAAGAGTTCAATTATTTTATGCATATATCAGTTATTAATGACTAATAAAGCTTGTATAAATATTCAGAATTTGAAATTGTCTGAAACAAACAAACCAAAAATTTCCTGTATTTTCTTCTTAACCTAGATGTCACTCTGTAAATTGGCTCTCTTGACATAAAGTTCCTCTTAGTGGGTTTTTTCTTTTTTTTTTTTCTTTTTTTTTAAAAAAAACTCCATTTAATTTAAATGTACTGACAGGGCAGCCACTTCAATTGTAGAGATGGATTTAAAAAAAAGAGTTATTTGTAGAAAGCTCCTTTTTTAAAGCCCAGATGTAAAAAAGCCCAGATGTAAATACAAAAGCCCAGATGTAAATACAAATGAATTACTGGAATATGTTTAAGATTATACATGTGCCTATAAGGACCTAAATATTTTTTTCCTAGTCCTTTAAGTGGATTTTCTTTAGAATTTGTTTCTTTGTTGTTAAACACAATGTATAATTAAATAGTATAAAACTCTACATGGAAGAAAAACCATCAAACCTTTCCACATTACTTTTGGTAACCAGATGTCAGCTATATCATGATTTAAGAAGTAAGATCTTAGATTTCCTTATTGCAGCTTTCAAGTCTGGATGATAGACGAGGCAGTCGACCACGGTCTATGGTGAGATCCTTCACGATGCCGTCGTCTTCAAGACCCCTCTCCGTTGCATCAGTGTCTTCCATCTCCTCTGACAGCACACCTTCTCGGCCTGGCTCGGATGGGTGCGTAAGTCATTCAGGGTTTATCTCCGTAAAGCATGATTTGGTGTGCACATCTATAGGTTTTGAAGATTGTCACCACCCCGCTCCAGATCTCAGTGCTATCACGGTGTTACTCCTTCCGACCCTACTGACTCCTCCTATGTGGCAGCGTGACGTTTGTTTGATCTCATAAGGAATTGGGGGTTTTTTGGTTGGGTCTTTTCCCAGTGTATTTTATTCCAGATTTGATTCATCATAAACATAACATAACAGAAACCCCACAAACGTTAATGTGACAGAATGGTGTGAGTAACTAGTGTGGGTTGGGGGTGGTGCTTTCAAGTGACAGCCTGATATTGGCTAAAAAAAACCAACTTATGTAGACATTTATCTTAAAATATATTCCTTGTCCTTTTTTTTAACCAAGATAAATACAATGCTCTTCTTGGTCCTCTTTAAAACAAAGTTAAAGAAACCCCCCTAAGCATTCAAACAAAACCCCCCAAGCAAACAGGAGATAAATTATCCCCTTTTAAAGTATTGCAAGTGTAATAGTTTGGAAGTGATCTTTTGCAAAGTCGGTGATGAGACGGCCCTTACGTGGTTAACAGGTGGAGCTTGGGAGAAGGAAGGGATTAGCTAACTGCTCAATCATTTCTTCTCACTTCTGCTGCAGAGGAAAAGCTGCTTATGGCAAGATTGTACTTCAAGACTTACCAAGACATTTCACATGAGAACTGGGAATTCTGTTGATAAGCCCGGTCTCACAGTCGCATCCCTCAAAAGAACAAAATAATCTGTTTCCTTTCTGGGGTTTCCATGCAGCCTCAGAAGTCCCTTCTCCCTCTTCCTCCCCCCAGGCATTCCCGAAATCCAGAAAGTCAGTATTTGATGAAGGCGGCAGTTTTTTAAAGCCTCCTGAAGGGCTGCTAACTTACAGAGATGTGCTAGAAACGTGTGTGTCCCTCGTGCACCTTCAGAGGGAGTTATTACCTGACTAGAGAGTAAAAGCATCAAGTAAAATTAAATACAGCACCTGAGGACCAACATGATACTTACCTTGATTACAAACAGTTTATTCTACCCATTGGGTAGAACTGCAAACAGAGCGCAATTCAGCTCTCATTACGTTACCCTCTATAATGTATACACGGTGAGTCACGTTGATACAAATGTAGGACAGCAGAGATGATAATGCGTTTCAACTAATTCATCCACAAAAGTTGTCTTGCTGGAACTTGGGGATAACTACCATCCCAGGTTAGTGGGCAACTTTATTTTATCTCGGAAGAAAAATACTGATTCTTTCCCTGCCTGCCTCTACCTCTTTCTCTTTCTCCCTTCAAAATCATTATATGTATTTTTCTTTCTCATTGGATGCTATTTTCTTAAATTTCACGTCTCCATCCCAGCTTTGTTGTAGTAGGTGTCACTTAGCAGTTTTGGAGGATCTCATGAGTCTTCTCAGTATGTATATTAAAAAAAACCTCACAAAGATCACAGTGCAGCTCAGCTCCTGCTCTGAGCCTGGGGCAATACAGCTGTAATACATGTGAGGAAAATATAATGAACAACTCCCATCACTGAGAAGACCTGAAAAAAATGCTCATTTGCTTGATCAATGGAGCAGGAGAAGAAAAATCACCAGATGTAAATAACATAATGAAAGACCTCAAAAATTCAAATGACTGTAAAAATCACGTAGGTGGTTTGTCACTACTAACTTGGAAGAAGTTCACCCATGTACCTACCATAGTTGATTGGGCTTATGGTCAGTTGTTCTCTCCTGCTTTCCGTTTCCCCCCCTCTTCTTACGTTAGTTCTGAGATTAGAGATGAAGCTAAGAAAAAGAATTAAAAATGGAGCTGACAGATGTCTTGCCCAGATGACCCAACTTACATTTTATGCCATCTCCAGTTTCTCCTGCTTTGGAGCTTTTAAACAGTAAAAACTCAAAGCAGACATTGACATAGTATGTGTTTTACAACTCCCAACTCTGCGTATAAATAAAACTCTGACTTTAAAAAAGGACCTTGGGTTTATTCACTGCTTAAAATGGGACTTAGAAGTACAAATCTGAGCACTTAGAAGCAGTGGTTGGAAGTGGGGAAGTCCCAGTGTGCCCGTGTGATTTGTCGTCCGTTGAAACTCCTAATGTACTTCAAGTAGGAGCATGGCGTGCTAGCCCATTTTATCACCGATACGTTGCATACAAATAATTAATAGTACTAATAATAGTAATGCCTGGAAGGGAAGCAATTAATCATTGTCTGAAGAATGGCAATTCCTCTTGTAAACTTGCAGCCAGCCTGCGAGGCGGCTGTCACTGCCCTCCAGCCCAGCGCAGCCCATGTGGTCTTGGCTTTGGTTATGAGGGTGATGGCTCAGGGGCCGTTGCCGCAGGTACTGGTTTGAGCATCTTTCCATCAAATGAACTAACTTAGGCTGAAAACTGAAGGGCCTTTAGTGTTTCGAACAACAACAACAACAAAAATAATAATTTTGGATATTGCTGCTGGATATTCCTGCTAATAGAGAGGATTACAATAACTTCACTGCAAATTGTCTGAAATAAGAATCCTGCAGTATTTCACAGCAAAGACTGTGGGCTGTACGTGCGTGCATCACCATGGCATAGTAAATACTTTTCCAATGTTAAAAAGTAAGCTGGTTTCTTTCTTTGGGGATTTTTAGTTTGGTTTCAGTTTTGTAGTGTGATGATTTGAGACATTCTCTTAAAATCTGTCAGTGTAATTTTGACTAGGGTATGATTTTAGTGGTTTGTTTAGTTTATAATATAAATTAAAGTATAAAGTACTTTGTCTAGCTAAGAATATTTTAGCTCGTTAAGAGCGAAATATGTCTTTACCTTTTATTTAAACTAGTCATTAAAAAAAGGTGTGATAAGAGAGATTCCTTTAAATTACTGAGTGAAAATTAGCTAAAAAGAGTTCCAATATTACTTAGAATAGTGCTTTCCCTA